TATTCTTTTCGATAAATTCCTCTTCCAGCTCTACAATTATATATATGTTTATACACACAGAATATTTTAAATTAGTAGTTAATAACAATATTAGCTTTTTTTTAAATAATATTGATTTGTAAAGTATGATCCATGCAATTACAGTTCATTAAAGATGCTTAAATAATAATAATAAAGATATAATAGTGGATAGAATATCAACTAAAATTAGGGAAATTTCACAAAAATTCTGGATTATTCAAACCTGGATGGCCAAGGTAATGATAAGGTTTGAACTAACTTCTTTTGGGTGCATAAATTAGGCTTGTTAATATGGAACGCGAATAGGCAACAAGCAACGAGTTGGGGGATTGTGCGAGAGTAATATTGGGGAAGTGATGTCAGTAGGACGCGTAAGCTGATGATTGATCACTTAGCCAACTAAAGGGGACTCTAAATGAAACAACGTTGATTAGATGTGTGTTGTTGGATCCCTATGTTCCGCTTGGAGACCAAGGGAATAATAAGTATAACAAGTTAACTCTTTCTGCAAAATAGATCAATAACTTGAGAAGTAAACAAATGGTGGTCTCATTCAACATTTGAAAGCCTTTTACATCACCCCTTTTGAATTTTGCACAGAATTGTTTGTTGTGAAAATATTTTGACGACAATTTAAATTATTGCGTCATGAAGCAACTGGAATGATCCCATTACGAAAAAATTATGGGATTTCATTTTCGGCATCTCCTCTTTTCTCTCTTTCTAGATGACTTATCATCTGCAAATGACATAATTTTGTCAAATATGCTGACGACCTGACAGTATCTTTGCCTGTCAAATGTCAAAGTGACTGCTCTAAACTTAATGGCTTTCTGTCAGAAATCAGCCAGTGGTCCAAGGAAAATGGTCTTACCTTAAACCCCTCCAAATGCCAAATAGTCAATTTCACCTTAAGGCATAAATCCAACCTAAACAAACTGGTTGGCTCTGACGAGGTGTGCAACACAGATGACATTGAAATGGAAACCAAGTCAGAAATTAAATACCTAGGCGTCATTCTATCTGCTGATCTTTCCTGGTCGTCTCATATCTTGGCGATTCCTAAGAAAATATTCCGTCTTACCTTCTACATCAAGAAGTTAAGACATTCTGGTATAACCCAACCCTTACTCCTACAATTCGTTGACTCTCGCATTCTGCCTATCATTCTCTATTGTTTCCCCTTAGTTTTTCCCGGGCTACTGAAGAAAGATTATACCTTCTTATGCAGGATATTAAAGGTTGTCAGCAGGGTAAGCAACGTGCCACTTAACCAGCTTGTTAATACTCTGGTTGACAGGCACATGAACTCATGCAAGAAATGGGTTAAATCCATTTTATCTAACTCACAACACCCTCTTCACTCACAACTCCCCCCTTGCATCTCATCAGGCAAAACCAGAAGCCTATATAGAAAACTAGATGCTCGCACCGGCAAGTACAAAAACTCAACCATACCCTAATTAGCTCGTGTTCTGTGCGATAAAGAAAGCATTAGGCATGAAACCCATAAATTTTTAAATAGTCAGCAGAACAACTGGGTCTCGTCTTTCTAACTGATATGATTTATAGGTACAACGTTTTCTTTCTTTGTTTTTCTTTTCTCTCTCTTTTTTCTTTTTTTCTGTTATATGCTGCTTTGTTTCTTTCTTCCGCTACGCTAGTAAATATGATAGCACCTACTTTTCTAATACCTTCAAACACTGTTCAACTTTGACATTGTCACTGACATGCCAATATGTTTTTTTCATAATGAACTGAGATTTCCTTAATCTATGCAGAATTTTATTTATTGATAATGTACTAAGTGGATGCAATACTGTAGTAAAAATGCTGAGAATTCCATTCTGTATCACAAGTACTGTTTTGGAATAAAGCAAATTATTATTATTGTTGTCTTAGTCTAGGGTTTATAAAAATATTTATGTGCTTAATAACTCTCCACAAGTGAATATAAGATTGTTCCGTGTACTCATAATGCGCATCGTACTACTGAATTCTTGGTCACAGTCGACACGTTTCGGTGTTCATTTTTTATGTGATCCATATCCACAAAGATCTGCCATTTATGTGACAACACTAAATTTGTTAATTTCCCCAGCTGTTCCACCCTACTGTTAAACCTGAGATGGTTCTCAAAAATGTTTTCTTCAGTAGCGTTTCCTAACCTTAGTGGTTCTTCATATAGTTAGATAATTTGCTATCGCAAATACAATGAGAAGAGTAATTAGCCTTGAAAAGCAGTTGTTCTGTGAGATCGTGATAAATGTAGGTGGTATATCCTTAACCTACATTGGTAATCCTTATCTGGTTATATTACCAAGAACAGCGTTAATAATGATACTTTATATTCTTAAGTTCTTTATCATCGTGAGCTGACATCAAATAGAGAAACATTGAAAAACCTGGGAGTACTGGACAGCTGTTTCATCCTAGTCTGGGACACTTAAGAAGTACGCACCCAAACAATTTTTTGAATACAGGTTGATTCCACACAGTACTTTTTGGTAGAAGTATGGAATTTTCAGCATGTGATATCGGTAGCCCAAGTTTTGCAGGCCGACCATTAATATCAGGTGTGTGTTGGCAGGGGATTGAACCCCGGCCCATGTGCATGGTCGGTGAGAGTCCTAACCACTGTACCACCGACGCCCAGTACTCCCAGATTTTTCAATGCTTCTCTAAATGATGTCAGCTCATGAAGAAATCCTCTAACCAATCAAACAAAATCCCTACAAAACCAAAACTTGAAAACTTTATCATTTTGTTTATCTTAATTTGTCTTTCATTTTTTGTATAAATTGATTTGATAAGTAAAAATGTTACCGGATTGTTCGAAATGTATACATCACAAATAAATAATACCGCATTTTTCAAATAAACTCTGCCTTCTGATAACACTATCCAAATTTAAATCAAATTCACGATTTGCAAGCCAATCTGTAACTTGTACAGTCCGATGTGAGATTTTGCTTCACTTTGCACTGAAAAGCCAAAATTGTTCAGATATAAAACTGTGATCTATTATTATTGTTTCCTTTAGTTCCCTAAGGGACACAGGGCTTCAGCCGAACGTCTTCATTGCATTCGCTTCCCAACCAACGTTTTCACCTGGCTCCACGTCTGCCCACATGCTTTCATCTCCTCTTCACATCACCACCACACTGACGACTAACTCGCCGCTTCCCGTTCAGATTCCTCTCGAGAGCCTATCATGTGATACCCCTTGATGGTGGTTTGTTTTCACAGAATATGACCAATCCACCTCCATTTCTTCCTGTATATTTATTGCACAACTGGTTCCTGCTGGGTTGGTTTGCTCCCAGAGATCCCTATTTTCTCTGGTCGGCCATCTGATCTTGAGTACTGAGCGAAGACAACTGTTTATGAAGGTCTATAGTTTGTTTGAGATGCTCTTCATGACGCGCCAAGTCTCTGATCCATAAAGTAGCACTGACTTCACATTGGAATTGAAAATCCGGATCTCATTTTTGATGCTGAGTGGTGTTGACCTCCACACAGACTTGAGAGAAATGAAAGCTTGTCTTGCTTTTCCAATTCTTACTTTGATATCCTCGTCAGTTCCGTCCGCCTGTAGTTGAAATGATGCTTCCCAGGTAGGTTAAGCAGGTTGCTTCCTTCAGATTTCCCCAGTTTATGATGATTGTTGTCTGTTGTTGTTGTTGCTGTTGGTGGTTTTGCCCAGGAATCTTCATCACCTCTGTTTTCTCCATGTTCACCTGAAGTCCTACCTTTTCTGGATGCTTATTCTGCCAACTTGTTGCTTTTCGCTTGCATATCTTCCAGTTTGTGGGAAATCAGACATATATCATCGGCGAAGTCCAGATCCTCCAAGTTTTTTGTGTGGGTCCATCTTATACCTTTTTCCTCGCTGCCCACCACTGTCTGACGCATTATCCAGTCTACCGCCGTCAGGAAAATCATTGGAGATGTTATGCAGCCAGCTTGTCTTACTCCTGTCCTCACTTCGAAGGAATCCGTGAGTTTCTCATTGTGGATTACTTGGCATGCAGCATTGTCGTAAAACTGTTGGATGAGATGTATAATTGTTGCTTTCTTGACTATCACTACCTTTTGCGAAAAAAATGTAATCTGCTTGATACTAACAGCAGTAATCAAGAAAGCAAATATAAATGCGTAAATCTATGCCCTACTGATTGACTGAGATGAGTAGTTTTCTGACACACAACTCACCCAGTATTGCTTGCTAGCCGGATGGAAACGACCTAAACCCCGGGAAGCCATTTCGCTCATCTGCCATCCAGCTGATCAGCGTGGTTTCCGGTCCAATCTAGCCCACAGAGCTGAATTGATTCAAACCACCCGATTTGTGGCAGATCAAATACTACGATCTGAATAATTTCAGTCTCCAAAAGACGAAGCTTTGAGAAATGTCACTTTCACGAACTGTGTAAAGTGAAAATTAATTTGCAGACTACGAATGTGGTCTATGGTGATACCAGTTCGCCCATGAAGGCAACCAGAAATCAGGTGGCTTCATTTGATTCTGTCCTCCAAGCTGAGTCAAGCTAGATAGACCACTGATGAGATCGTTCCAAATGAGCAAATCGGCTGTCCGGTGTTTAGATCGCCTCGATCTGGCTAGTAAGCACCAATGGTAGGTATTAGTGGTATACATACACTCATTTCAATCAATCAGTAGTATGTAATTTTATGCAGCCATCCTAATTTATTGAAAGGACTAATTGTCTTGAATTATTGATTTTTTTATCGATACTGATGTTATTCGTTCATTGCGTTCCGAGTGTAATTTGGAGCTTTAAAGTCATATCTCTATTGCGCTCTAGGTTCCGTACTGTAATTTTCAAACATCTGTTGCAGCACACAGCTCCCTAATCGCTCACAGCACCTTCAGATGATGGGTGTTAAGAGCACCGTTTACTTTTGCAGCTGGCTTGAAAATTCGAGCTCACCGCATAACGAAGTATAGGTATTATTTAAATTTTGTAGAGGTGAATAGTGAACTTACATTTAAATGAACCTTGTTGATACAGTTGACACGAGGTGCCGGTAATATTCTGATCAAATTTTCCAGCGGTCATAGTCAAAGATATTAAAGTTGCATTAATTTGAGATATTGAATCCTTGATTAGTTTTCCTTGTGTACGAAAATTCGTTGAATTCCATTTCTTCCCAAAGTCACTACTTATTAACATACTGTTATGACCTGAACCTTGAGCAATTAAAATATTCTGTGGAGTTACATAGCTTAGAATCCTTGTAACATGTGGTCCCATATCTATGAACAGAAAGAGAAAGAGAATTTTTATTAATATTGAAGAAATGTAATGACAAGTGTGAGAGCTGTCGAAGAGTCCCTAAATAGGACGAAACAGGTGTCCAGTATTCCTCATCGGTTTTCGGTGGTTCTCCAATGATTCCAACTTATCATCAGATCCCTAAAAACTAACTCTTGAAAATTAATCTAACTCTCGCTAGTGTCTGGAAATCGTACGAATTTGCCTGGGCTTGTAATGAAAAGTCTTGACCAATGGAGTCCATTGGGTAGGGGGTGAAGACTGATACTAACCGATGACGGTGGTTGGTAATCACGCTTTAATCACGAATTGGTGCTAATTGGGATTTTTGGGCCATTAGATTCAGTTCAAGTGGCTGGATGGTCAATGGCCTCACTTCGTAACCAGGAAGTCGTTGATTTGACCTCCATTGTAGTTATTTTGTACGTACTGAGGAAGAATCCGAAGCTAGAACGACACAGCTGACAAGTACTTCCTGGTTTTTGATGGTTCTCCGACTGCCATCAATCCGTAGTCAAACCCTACAAAGCATATCTTGTAAGTACAAATAACCTAAGTCCAGATTGATGTAGTCTGTTTTAGAGGGGTCGACTGTTTGTGGGATAACTCAAAGGATATCCCTAAGATAAGACGATGTTTACAATTTTTGGATTAAAACAAACTTTAAACAGGAAAACTATATCAACAAAACTGGTTTCGTAACCACAGGACATATTTCTGCTACAAAATATTGTAAAGCTGTAAGTTGAATGAGGCTCAGATGATTGAAGACTTTTAAATGTAAAAAGAAAGAATTGAGCAAAGAATATACTTTTCGATAATTTCCTCTTCTGGCTCTACAAATATATATATATACAAAAAAATTCTAGAATAGTCGTCAATAACAACATTGCTGCTTTTATTAGATGGTTGGAGGCAGTCGGCCACAGGAAGCCTTAGACCTGCGTTTCGTGCTACTTGGCACTCACCAGTCAGTCAGTAAGGCGTATCCGCAACCTTGAAAGAACTCGTGTCCCTTTCTGAGATTCGAACCCGTGTCATACAGCGCTGCAGACAGACACGTTATCACTGAGCTGTTCAGGCTCACGATTGACGTCCTGTAGGACTGTATTGGATATTTTTGAATGGACACTAGTCAGTAACTGGTGTAATGTGTGTGTGCTTCTAGTCCTCTGCTTATTGCAGACTGAATTTTATCAGTTAAGTTTGCAATGTGCCACATTGTACACACACATTGCACTAGTTACTGACTAGTGTCCAATGTAAAAATTTTGTTTTTTTTAAAAATACTATCGATTTGTTAAGTAAGATCAATGGAGTTACAGTTCAGTAAAGATGCACGAATTATAATACGCATGCAAATATAATAGCAGATAGAATATCAAATAAAACTAAAGAAATTTCCACAAAAGAAATGAAAAACATTAGAACCTTGATGGCCTAGATAAGGACAGTGTCTGAAACAGCTTCTTTTGGACACATAAGTTTGCTTTGTTAACGTGGATCCTAACGACCTCAGCAATATGTAGTAGACGAACTCTTTAGGTAAAGTTAATATTTTTTTGGTATACGGTAAATAACTTTGAAAGCTTCTTTAACATTAATCTTGTGTTCTGTATCCACAAGGTGAGATAGAATAGCTCTAGAGATGAATTTTTGGTTTGTCCTTTACTTAACCACACAGGTTGATGTTCAGAAATCCGACAAGAAATGTAATATTCAAATTTCTACTGCTGTGTAAAATGCCAGACCTTCAGAACCATGATTGCTAAGGCAGTCATTGTGAGTTTGTTATTATTAGAAAGTATGATCACTATGGAGTCTTTTTTTGTTTAGTTTTCAGGTCATCAGACTGCCGCCTGATCTAATATCTCGTCAATACCAGTCGCATTTTTCGACCAACCTATCATTCATAGTGGGAAGAAATCTACGCAGAATGGTAGACCTCCAACTACTCTCTACTGTGGAAGCGATCAATATATGCATAGATAAACCAGGGTTATATATGTGCCGGAAAGAAGCTCACCTAACTTTTATGTCTACTATTGACATGTCAGCTCCAGGAACGGAATTATGATCCTGTCCATCCCAAGCAAAATACTAAGCCGCATCATCCTGGAGAGAATCAAACATTCCCTGGATGAAAAACTTCTACCGGAACAGGCTGTATTCAGGAGAAACAAGTCATGCATTGATCAGATCGCCACATTACGGATCATCATTGAACAAAGCTTCTAATGGCAGTCACCTCTCTATCTCAACTTCATCGACTTAGAAAAGGCCTTTGACAGCGTCCACCGAGAGGTGATTTGGAAACTACTTCGCTACTATGTGGTGCCACCGACAATTATACATCTCATCCAACAGCTGTACGACAAGGCTGCATGCCAAGTAATCCACAACGAGAAACTTACGGAACCGAAGTGTCCTTCGAAGTGAGGACAGGAGTAAGACAAGGTTGCCTTCTATCGCCAATGATTTTCCTGATTGCAGTAGACTGTATAATGCGACAAACAGCGGGGAATGAGGAAACAGGCATAAAATGGACTCACACAAAAAACTTGGAGGATCTGGACTTCGCCGATGATATATGTCTGATTTCCCACAAACTGGAAGATATGCAATCGAAAAGCAACAAGTTGGCAGAAGAAGCATCCAGAGAAGATAGGACTTCAGGTGAACATAGAGAAAACAGAGGTGATGAAGATTCCTGGGCAACACCGCCAACACCAAGGACAACAACAACAGACAACGATCAGCATAAATGGGGGGAACCTGAAAATACAACCTCTTTTACGTACTGACCTGGGAAGCATCGTTTCAACTACAGGCAGACGGAACTGACGAGGATATCAAAGCAGCTAGGATCGGAAAAGCAAGACAAGCTTTCACTACTCTCAAGTCTGTGTGGAGGTCAACAGCACTCAGTACGAAAAATTAGATCCGGATTTTCAATTCCAATGTGAAGTCAGTGCTACTATACGGATCAGAGACTTGGCGCGTCATGAAGATCATCTCAAACAAACTACAGACCTTCATTAACAGTTGTCTTCGCTCAATGCCACTCAAGATCAGATGGCCAGCCAGAAAAGATCAGCAACAGAGATCTCTGTGAGCCAACCAACCAGGAACCGATTGTGAAATAAATAGGCGGAAAGAAATGGAGATGGATTGGCTATACTCTGAGGAAACCATCAAGTGACATCACTAGACAAGCCCTTGAGTGGACCTCGAAAGGGAAGCGACGAGTTGGTCGTTAGTGCAAGGGTGATTTGGAGGAGATCATGTGAAGAGGAGATGAAGGCATATGGACAGACGTAGAGGCAGGTGAAGACTCTAGCAGAGAACCGAACTCAATGGCGACGCTCGGCTGAAGCCCTATGTTCCTCTAGGAATGAAAAGATACAATAATAATAATAATAATTGATATGTCAGTAGCCTATTTAAATTACTCAGCTACTTAAATTCTTTATCCATCAAAATCCATTATTGTATTTACTCTATTTCATATTATTTAATCATCTAATTACCACAGTAAGTCGCAATCTACACTAGGGCACACTTTTAAAGGCGTTTCTCCCTATCGTTAGGAAATTTCCGAAGGAAATAGGGCAATAACTCTGTGGAGTGGTAGTGTAACATACTGCGGACGGAACAATAGAGCTTTTGATGACATTATATCGGTCATTATACTATCTGAAGATTCCTCACAAGAAGTAAGTATAGCTTGCTATGAAAATTCTGTAATGCGTCTAAATGCACTTTCCAGAATAAAGCAATTATTACTTTATTATGTAGACAAATAAACAATGAACTATCTTCTACTGATGATACAGCGATCAAGGTCACTTTGGAAAAAACCCAATTAGAATTGGCCTACTTAAAATCCTAAATGCTATCAAGCTACTAAATACCGGCCCAAAAGCACTGAAAACGGACCCAGTGATTGCAGTTGATGTGCTTACGCCATTATTGCAAAAGGTTTTGAAAGAAGGAAAGGCACCTACCTACAAGAAGAAAGTCTATCTCGTCAGGCTGCCAAAGAAGGGAGACTTACACCTCACTCTGCAAGAACTGTCGTGGAATAAAGCTCTTGTCCACGCGAAGTAAAACACTAAGTCGCGTCATCTTGCAGAATAAAAGATGCATTGGATACAGAACTCTGCCAGTAAGGAACAAGCTGGATTCAGGAGAGTCAATTCATGTGCTGATTAAATTGCAGCTCTACGCATCATCGTTATCGAACAAAGAGGTCAGTCCTGTACCTTAACTTCCTACAGTTCAAAAGTGCTGTAACCGGATAGCATTGACCGAGAAGTAATTTGGAAACCATTTTAGTACTACAGAGTGAAATGCCCAAGTCTTTATCAACCTCATTCAACAGCTGGCTCTATGACAGTGTCACGTGTCAGGTGATCCACTACGGAAAACTCAGCGAGGCGTTCTAAGTGAATGCAAGAGTAAAACAAGATTGCCTTTTATCACCGATGATATTCTCAACTGTGGTGCACTGGATTATGAGGAAGACTGTGCATGGGGAGCGAGGAGGCAGGAGTACGCTGAATGACCGATGAGAAGACTCTAAAAGATGTGGATTCCGCGGATGACATATGTCTAATATCACAGAAACTCGAAGACTTACAGGCGAAAACCGACAAACTGACAGAAAAACTGGCAGCGAAGACAGGACCACAAGTGAACATAAGACAACAAGATTCAGATTTTCAACACAAATGTCAAATCAGTTCTCCTATGCGGATCAGAAACTTGCACTGTGCGTCATGTAAAGGATTTCCAACAGGTTTCAGGCTTTTATCAACAGCTGCCGACTTCACTGTCTCCATACTGAAGATCAAATGGCGAGCCAGCCAGAAAGAACTAGCCTTAAGAATCTCTGGTGATGAACAAACCAACCAATAGCCGACTGACTAACAAATATGTAGGAGAAAATAAAGATGGATCGGGCATATACCTAGGGAACCGTCAAATGACATCGCGCGCCAGGGCCTGAAGTGGAATCCAATTGAGAAGCGACGAGTTGTTCGATGGTGCGAGGGTGACATGGAAGTGATCGTCTAGAGAGTAGGATAAGAGAGACCCAGCTGAAGAGTATGGCAGAAAATTGAAGAAAGTGGAGATGTGTTATTGAACCGCTATGTTCAACTATGAACCCAAGGGAATAATAATGATAGTATATATAATTACGCCTACATTTTATTGATCATGATAATAGACTAATTGAAATAACCTTGATAATTTTTTGAATCACACATGTTGTGTAATATATACTATGGCGGTATGATACGGTGGCCAAGGTCAGTCAGGAAATAAACCAGTTAGATTTGGCCTACGTAAAATTACACCCACTATTTTATTGGTATAACCTTGGTGATTTTTTGAATCACACATTATTGTGTAAAACATACAGTGGCTGATGCTGAAATATACTTTTCGGCTGGTAACATTGTTTATTCTTGCTTAGGTAAAGCGGGCTGTGAAACGAGTAGCTATTGTATAATTTTGTTGGTGTAGTCACGTGTTACTCGTGATCAGCTCATCTGTGTCTAAACTGGCGTCTCTATTTTAATCTCGATGTCATTGTGGAGTGTAAAATGATGACATCATTACAACTATGGGCTTGATTTCTCTTTGCCTTGACTTTCATCTGTTTTAGAATTCTCAACGTTTTTCTTCTTTTTTTCCCATCTTCAGCAACAAAACATCGTTTCGTTTAGTTTCTTCCCCTCGCATTCCTATCAGCACATATAGATTGAAGGCCTGACGTTTCACTAGCAGTGGTACTGTTTTTTATGGGAAGCAACAGCACACCCAATCTTCACTCTTCTCCGGGCTTACTGACTGCTAGAAAACTAGGAGGGATTTTGGAGTGTGTTGGTCACATACTGGACTCGAACCTGCAGCATGACTGGAGATTATTCCCCTATGAGACCATAAACGCGAATATGTACAGCATGGTCACACTTTATGCTTGAAAAAATTATTTCACACATCACAAAACCTTATTTGACTTTTGATTTTTCTAGTCTATGTGAATGATCTTCTTGTCGTTATCACTTCAATGAAATTTCCACATCGAACTAAAAAGCCTGTAATCTTTATTTGATTTCACCTTTGTCATTATGCTCAATCAAATAACGTTAGTGTTTACTTTTCCGAAAGTGTTTAAAAATTTTGGTTACGCATCGTGTGGAGAATGAAGTCGTTGTAAAGATATCTTTTCCTCAAACTCTTGTTTCCTTTCACTTGACCACACTTGTACTAAGTGAAGTATATATTTCGCCAATCCTTCAGCATTTGCAATTACTCACATCATTGTTGACAGTTTTGACTGGTACATAGGGCTTCAACAGCACATCTCCATTTCACCCTGTTATGTGTAGCGTTCTTTAGATCGTCATATGATTACTCACAAGCTTTCATCTCCTATTCACAAGGTCTACTTCATGTTACCCTGGATGTGGCTCTCAACTAGTAGCCCGTTTCGAATACGGGTTCAAACCTAAGGCCTTGTGAGCGATTTCATTCAAGGGTCTACTCAACATATGTCCGGTCCATCCATCTATCAACCTCGATATATAACCTTAAATCACATACATGATCTTCGAGGCTTTTCATAATTCAATGAACCGTTGTGAAAAACTGATGGCTTGACTCTGGGGTGAAAATTCCAATAATCTTCGAAGTTCACGGACCACTAACAAGTGTTCCTTGGATTAGTTAACGTCGAGAATACTGTTAACTCGATTCATAGTTTATAACAGATCTCCAAGCTTTTACAAATAAGCTGTTCAGTGATTACAACCAGCATAATCAATGAGTTACCTTTTAACTTCTTTGAGATTGGCAAGCCAGTTTTCTGTGAAGTTCTCATTGAAAATGGAATTCTACACCTATGAGTTTAGGCTTTTAAAGCCACACATTAACCACTTTCAAAGATTTTGCAGCCATTATTTGATCAGTGTGCATTACTGACACCTGAAGATGATTCGCTTCACCTGATGTGGTTAAATTCCATGCTGCTCAACGGTCGCTCAACGGTTTCAGTGGTTCTCAATGATGCTTTTAACTGGTTTTGGTTCGTGACAAAGATGTGACAATTGAAATTAATCTGAAATCCTCCACAAATCTTATTCTCCGAATATAAATCGCCAACTCACTGATAGCTGCTGGGTGGATTTCCTGAAACTGAAGTATGAAGTCATGACCAGTGGCGTCCACTAGGTCAGGGTGAAGTGATCGCTCAATGAATGCACTGGTGAGAGAATCGCTAGATCATGAATTTGCAAAGTTGCAGTTCATAGGTCACTGAATTCCACTGGTCCAAGTGACTGACTGATCAGTGAGTTGAGTCTCGTATTCTGAAGGTCTTGGTGTCGGTTCATTGTGGAGTCATGGGTAGTCACTTTCAAAGAGTCTCAAACTCGTACGTAGTAGCTAGTTATCCAGTGCTGGCCGGAAAGAATCACCAACAAGGAACTATGAGAACAAACAAAACAAGAACCAATCGCTCAACAAATATGCAAGAGAAAGTGAAGATGGATTAGACACTCGCTGAGGAGACTGCTGGATGACATCGCGCTTCAGGCCCTCGAGTGGAACCCGAAATGGAGGCGGTGAGTGGGACGTCCAAGGGTGACATGGAGGAGATCGTGTGAAGAGGAGTTGAAACAGTATTGACTAACATGGATACAGGTGAAAAGTAACAGCAGAAGACAGAAGCAAGTGGAGACGTGCAGTTGAAGCCCTATGTTCCACTAGGAACCCAAGGGAACAATAATGATAATAATAGTAATCCAGTGCTCCTGGTCGGTTTTCAGTGATCTCTCTAACTAGTGTTAGTTCGCGAAGAAAATCTTATAATTGAAATTAATACAAAATCCTCACTAGTCTTCTGGTCTGAGTTTTTTAAAATCACGGGAAAACATTTTTATAAGTTTAATTTATTAACATATTTTGTTATTTTATGTCTGACACATAAATTGAGATTTCTGAATTTTAAAAATATTATGAAATAAAATACTAACCTGTCCACTTCGTATTAGAAGTCTCGTGTGTTACATAGCACCGTGTCTCCGTAGTGAATCTATCACAGTAGAACAGGTAACCAGAGACATAGAGGAATCTGCGTAAACCTGTATTCGACGGTTCGACGTAAACACTTTTAAGATTACATGGGTCTGGTAATAGAAAAAATTTATAAAAGAAAAAAGAAAATTACTATAAAATCATAGATGGAATTCTGGTTGTTCGTTTACAATCTCTGCTTCAAAAAATGAAATATTCTAAAGACTACGTTTATGCCTACATAAGTAACACAAATTTGCATCTGTGGTAGAACACCCACCAACTACGCCTTAGTCGGTCCACAGTTTGACTTCTGGCGGGTGCAGTGTTCAGCCCTGCATAGCCAGTTGTAAGCCTGTCAAAGATGGAAGGTTGGACATGGGGCTAGAGCAACTCCATCCCATAAAAACTAAACACCACTGATACTGAAACTTCTCATCTCAAGCATGAAGGTCCATGTTCCAGTCGGAATTTAAAACGAGTGAAATAAATAGAAAATCAATAAAAACACAAATATGTTAAATGTATGTAGTAAGCCGATTAAGAGGATAGTGAGATTATGTTGTAAAATGTCAATGACTAGACAAAAACAATAAGTATACATTCCTATGTAGTAGTCTCAGTCATTAGAAGTGAAAAGTCTGAAAAATAGTACAATATGAAGCTAAGTTATGCCAACATTTCAATCTAATTACTGAGTGCATATATGCTCATTTTAATTTATTCATTATATATATATACATACTAATATCGTAAATTTACACTTTTTGTGTGAGCCACGCCCTTTTCTGGTGTTCTAAGCCTACTCTGTTTCACAATTTGCAATGTACACAGTTCGAGGGGTGATATTTTCACCACACTCTCCTCTCGAGACCAAATTATCCAGATTTCAGTAAGTGATCTGTTTGATACCATAAATAGTAATCCAGCAAACCAAGCATATTTCCATAAAATAATGTACTACTGATTGATCAGGATTAGTAGTTGTGTGCCACTCACATCAACAACCGTCTGGTGTTTAGATCACCTACATCTGGTGGCTTGGTGGCAAGCACTACTGGTTGAGTGATATAAAACTACTTATATCAGTCAGTTAGTAGTATATTTTCATGCAAATAGGCTCATTCGGTTTACCGAACAATTAAACTACGAGTGGCACTTCGTCTTAATTTTTATCGAACAGTTAAATTGAAAAGTTTGCTTCATTAAGAATATCGAAGGTTTTGTGTTTATTCAACCTACTTCGAATACTCCTAGTGTTATTCACTAAGTCGGAAACTACTTCAACACGATGGAGTGCACTAAATCTTTATTAACCTCACCAAACAGCTATGTGACAAAGCTACATGTCATGTGATCCACAGAGGAGAACTCATTGAAGCCCTTGAAGTGAAGAGAGTAGCAAGACAAGGCTGCCTACTGTTGGCCCTGATATTTCTTACTGTGGCAGACTGGATTATGTGGCATACTGTATGTGGGTAGCGAGAAGACAGGAATACGCTGGACCACCGATAAGAAGACCATAGGAGATCTGGATTTCACAAACGATTGACATGTAATGTCACAAAAGCTCGAAGACTTACAGGCAAAAACCAACAAGCTGACAGAAGCAGGTAGCAAAGACAGGATTTAAGGTGAATATAGAGAAGACAGGGGTGATGAAGATAACCAAACGACCACATTCAACACACACCAATCACCATCAGTGGGAGAAATTTAAATGAGGTCATTTTGTTCACTTATCTAGGCAGCATCTTTTCAACTACAGGTGATACCATGGATGGTGATGTTAAAACCATCCAGGGTAGGAACGGCAATTGAGACCTTCATCACTTTGAAATTAGTGTGGGAATCTGGCGCAGTCAGCATAAACAACAAAATTCGGATTTTCACTATTCATGTTAAGTCAGTTAGTCAGTGCTACAATATGGGTCAGAAACTTGCACTGTACGTCAAAAAAAGTATTTGCAAAATGCATTGGCATACTGTCATCCAAGGGTGCCTTCTCTGGCTTCATACAACGGATCAGATGGGCAACAAGAAACTCTTGGAACGAACTAATTAAGAACCTGTTACCCAATAAATATTCTAAAGAAGATGGAGATGGATCGAAGACACACACTGAGGAGACCGTTGGGTAACATCGCACTCAACGAAGACCCTCTTATGGAACCCTGATGAGTCCGAAGGTGACACAGAAGAGATTGTGTGGAGAGGAGATGAGAACAATGGGCAATCATAAGGCCAGTCAAAGATGACTCTAGAGAACAGATTTAAATGGGGATGTGCAGTTGAATCCCTGTGTTCGACTTCTAACCCAAGGGAATAATAATATGAGATGATATGTAGTTTAACAACAAGTAGTGAATCACTGGTTGAATGTATATGTATGAGTAAGTTTCAGACTTTATCAGCATCTGTCTTTGTATGATAATGGGAATCACAAGGTCGCTTGGGAAAAAAAGTTAGCAACAAGGAACTCTGGCAGCAGATCAACCTGAAAACTACTTCCCCAAATGATATACTGAAAGAAATGGAGGCGGACTGGACATAAGTTGAGGAGATGTGCAAATGAAATACGGCAATCTCATGACTACTTCACATGAGAACTAAACAGTCGTGGGATAATTTTATTGCGTAGCCTGAAACACTACGTTAATATATACAGAAAGGTGATATATACTACTACTACTATAACTACTACTGATAATAAAATACCAGATGAATGCATAACAACTTACCAAATATTTGTGGTTCTAGAACCGATCTGCACCCGTAAAGTTCAAGTGTGAATGAGACATCTATGTATTCATGATCTGTTTCACTAACAATTAAACGTATTCCCCTTGAAACAAAATAAGGCCTAAGGAGTATTTGTCCATAAGTTGCATTTTTATAGGAGACTGTCACCTATGAAATGTAAAAATTAAGTATTAAAATGGCTTTTATATTTGCAGAATGACAGAGTGCTTCTTTTTATCGGTGTAAAATTTTGAATCAGATATTCAAATGGAAACTTTATTAGTAGTAATAATGATCACTTTCATTATAATAAAGGTTTTTGTATTTCCCAATGAATGAAAAATAAAACGATATTGTTTTTACTGACGTTTCGCTATATAATGCTAATAGCTTTATCAAAGTATTATTAAACCGTATTATTAAACCATATAAAAGACCAAATCCCTAAAGATTCTCTATCTAATTGTGTCTATAAAATAAAATGCTTGGAATGTGATGCGATATACATCGGACAAACATCTCGAGAAATCAAAATCAGAAGAAATAAACACCATAGAGCATCTCTTCAACCACCGAGAAATCCGGTTGAACTACAAAATCTTGAAAAATCATCAGCCATAGGTCTACATGCTATAGAATCAGGTCACAAAATTGATTTTGACAATGTTGAAATAATCCAGAAAAACTTCAGAAATCACAAAGAACGTCTAATCTCAGAAGCACTTCATATCAAGTGGAATCGAAATTGCCTGAATAGGAATGACGGACTACAACAGAATCTGACCTGGGTACAACACCTTCCTCCTCCATGAAGTGACAAAATCAACACGAATGTGATAAGCAATTTCATTATGTAAACATACGCTGCTTTTATAATCTTATACACTTATCAAATCCAACAATCTACACATGATGGTTTCCTTATCTTTACCAATTCACCAACTTGACAACTAAAAAAGTGCCCCCAAACAGACGAACGATGATCAAGTTAGTAAACTTTATTTTGATGTGATAACAGACATACTATTACCTTTGTTATTTGGTTTAGTTATCTTCATCGCTATTTTTAATTTCAATATGTCCCTTTAACTTGACCTATATCTATTTTCTCACCCCCGAACTGTTTTGTTATATATATGCTGAGATTTTGTAAATTCCGGTTTAATAATACTTTGATAAAGCTATTAGCATTATATAGCGAAACGTCAGTAAAAATGATATCGTTTTGTTTTTCATTCATTGGGAAATACAAAACCTTTATTATAATAAATATCATATACCCAATGCCCAAATTTTTTCAAACCGTTAAAAGTGAACTTGGTTTGGACATATATAATGATCACTTTATTTAAAACAATAATACCCATTGAATCATGAAGAAAATAAAAGACAAATTCAGCGAGAAAATTTTTTTTATCGACGAAATCATCTTCAGAGGTTGTACAGTCGTATTTGTATTTACCGAAAATGTGTAATGGTCTATTAACGAGTAATAGGATATCCTCCAAGATTTATCGAGAAAAACATGAAGTTATCGGGAAAGCCTGAAAGAACTGAGACAATGCCGAAGAAACTGCTATTTATGAGCGTTGAATTTAAAGGTGATACCGCAGGTGAGATCCTGAAGAATCGCTTATGCAGATCACTGAGGAAAGCCTTCTTTATGGCTGAGCTACGTATCAATTTCTATAGTGGACAAATGATCAATGGATGTGTGAAGGATAAACTGCCACTCTGGGAGACTTCAATGTGTGTTTATAAATTCACCTGCTCGTATGGAGCTAGTTATATTGGCCGCACAAAGCGCACACTTAACAAACGCATCTCTGAACATTACTCGGCATGGTTAGTAAAAGGACAATGCAAGACAATTACTAGCTCAATTCTGGAGCATTTGAAGAACTCAGGCCACGTACCACCACCAGAGTCGTCTTTCAAGATCATCTACAAGGTGAGGCCGAGTGGTACAAAGGGCGTCAGGTTTCGGCTTTTGTGTATGGCGGAGGCACTGGCAATCCGAAATCTGTATACGGAAAAAGTTTGTACAGTCTCTTAGTCTACCTCGTTTTTAACCTCTTCACTAGTCGTTCCCTGTAAAATATTTTCTTTTTTCTTTTCTTTTTTTAATTTCTAATTTTACTTTTAGTTTCCATTTACTTTAATAATTAATTCACTATTATTATTCTCATGTGTTCCTTTTTTACATTTTCACACTCTTCACACTTGTCAAATTGACACTCAACTACCTTTATTCTCACTCATTAGCAAATTTAATTTTATCGAATTTCTAACTTTGTGCCGTTGAGTACCACGTAATTTACAACTTTTATTTATTACCTCTAAAACCACTTCCGAGTAATTATATCAATTATGTCACCCTACTACTACTCAATAATAGACTAATATACATTTTCGGTAAATATAAATACGACTGTACAGCCTCTGAAGATGATTCCGTTGATAAAGGAGATTTCCTTCGCTGAATTTGTCTTTTATTTTCTTCAAAACAAAAATAATTAAACAGGATACAATATTCAGCCTTTTTATACATATTGAAACAATTTTGCTCCTTTTATAAATATGCACATGCAAAAAATCTAAAATAATAGTAGTAATAATAATAATGAAGTCATGAAAAACTGAATGTTGGTGGAGAACACAATGCGTTATAAATAGATAATATCATACCTAATATATATGATAATAATCTTTGCTTATAATTGGCAGTTCAATTACTGATTTAAAAGGCCTATAACTTTTTTTCTGACATCTGACTCGCCACAAAAACCTCGTGCTAAATATGGTATGGTAGAATTTTTAAATTTAGTAGCTGTACGAACTTAAATTCTTATGAAGTATACTCTGCTTTTACCTTAAGATATACAAGGCAAAAGTTGAGAATAAAGAGAATGTTCAGTATCGGAGAAGATAACTTTAGTTGAATGTTCGCGAGAAATGAAGTGCCTAATGACAATAATGTCAGTTAGTTGAGTCAAAGGCACACCACCAACCCTACTTAAGATCTCCAGTGTTCTACATAACACGACATAGTCTTTTCGGGGACGCTCAGGGATGAGTAAGTGGGGAGGGACAATAAAGAGGAATGGGCAGATTACATGAATTGATAAATTGTAGGAGAAGAGGTTGAGTTATTCCAGAAGGTCTCAGTTTCTCTATGTTCTCTAAGTCAAACGAAACATTTTCTCAACAGGATATGAGACGACCAACAGAGAACATGAGAGAAACTGATGCTGAGACAAGAGATATTCAACTTGCTCCCTATCAGAGTGCCGTCAATATTACAGGAATCATGGCAATGAACCATTTCTTGTTCGCATCGAAAACTGAAATCAACAATATATCATTTGAATGGATTCAGATTAAGACCATTTAGGTGAGACCATTAGTTAAATTCAGACAAGAATCTGGTCGTATAAGAGCAATCCAAAGAAGAAACTACTGGAGCAGAAATGGTTGGATCGTAGGCATACTTAATGAAGTTAGCTTTGGAAGAATATGGAAGGTCGTGGAAAAAGAAAGAAAAAAGGAATGGAGAGAGTACAGAGGCTTGAGGTACACCAGTTTCCGTTGGCAGAGAACTGGAAAAGATTATTAATTAATTCTAGCGTATTTTGTGGCTATCGCTGATTTGCAGTTATCCTGGAATAGACAAGAAAATTTGACATGCCGCTGGTTCAGTGATAAAATGTCTACCTTGACCACTTACGTGGTCTAGGTTCGACTCCCGACAGACACACATCTAGACTTCGTTTAGTTTACGAAAGGTTATTAAAGTCATAGAAAAGGAAGGTTGGGATTGAGGCAATTATCCCCATTACTTAGAAATAACACAATTCGGAACTTAAAGAACGACAAAAGAACATTAGTGTTCTTTCGATAAATTGAAAAAGGCGAACAGTAACTACTATTGAGTTGTACCCACAATGAACAGTTCATGTTCAACGCCGTCATTTGCAAACGAAAGGAGGAGATTGACATGGAATCTCTATTGGGTCCATTGCTAGCCTACTGTTTTATGGCAAGCCTCAGAAATGGTCAGATTAAGTCAATTATTGATAACCTTCAATTGTATGCTAGATATGTGGATGACATTTTTATTATTTGTGGTGATAGTTATGGTCTTAATCAATCTTTACAGATATTTATCAACTGTCATCCAATAACTCTTGAAGAAGAAAACGAATCTAAAATTCCTCCTTTTGCTGTTGAACTCACAAGAATAGCAGACGCAACTTTAAGAAGACCGATCCGTCAAAAAGATACTTGTAACAGCCAGCTGACACGTTTCCACGGCTGGCTATCAATGGAAAATAAACTGAAGCTAATTACATCTTTTGCTACTCCTGGTGCTTTTGAAAAATAACTATACTTTTGAAGAAAATCTTCATGTGCAACTTATATTCGCCAAGATTTATTGATAAGAATATCAAGCCGAAAATTCAAAGATAAGAGACGTCATCCTTGCCAAAAAAGAAACTTTAACCTTGACTTTAAAGATGACCTACTCAGCGACGCGCATAAGAAGACAATTTTGGTTTCTTTAGGAAAACTTTTGCTTGCAGCAACTTTAAGTGTAGAGTTCTCTAGTCGTCCACTGGTCTGAAAAAGCCCCAAGTCTGAAATCTTGGATCTGACCACTTCTATGCGTATATATCACTCCACCTGTTCTGGTGGAGCCAGGTATATTGATCGTAGTAGTGGTAATAGTAGTCTGCCTAAGGCGATCTGCTTGAGTCGTCTTCTCACCGTTGAAGCTCTATCTTTACAGTAGAGAAACTGGAGCTGTGCATACCATAGAAAATCTTTCATCCACTTCTGTTATCGTGATAAGGATCCTATAATTTCTTTCAACCTAACCGCCTTACTTATTTTATTTCTCTGACCTTTTGTGACTCATCTTTCCTCCCGAACTCTTAAGTAACATAAAATTTCCTTTGTTTCTGTATGCACACTAATTCAATTAGGCAGGTCACTTTTCACTTTGTAGATCACCTCAAAGCAGGAGTATTTTGAGATAGAGTGGCCAATGTCTACAAAGTTTTCACTTATTGAAATTCTTATAGAGCCGCTGCTACCTTTCTGCAACCATGCTGGATTGTATTCTTGAACCCCTTTTAGACAGGATTTGAGTCGAACGATCAATATACCTGGCTCCATCAGAACAGGTGGACTGATGTGTACGCATAGAAGTGGTCAGATGCAAGATCTCATACTTGGGGCTTTTGCGGACCAGTGGACGACTGGAAGAAACTACACTTAACGTTGCTGCAAATAAAAGTCTCCTTAAAGAAGCCAAAATTCTGCACTTTAGGACATCACTGAGTGCACCCTGACTGCAACTTAATTACTAAATTATTTATCTCGTTGTATAATTCTATCACCCTTATTCAACTTACCATTTCTATTGGTTAGTATTAGTAGCTATTCTTATGATGATTTATCCCTTTCTTCATTTTCACTTTCACAAAGAAAAACTATATAAATGCGACTGTACAGCTAAAGAAAATTCTCGGAGAAGTCGCGGAGATGAAATTTCACTACAGTTTCCTTCAGAAACTCAAATTATTCATATTTTAACAACAGAAGACAAGGACCAGGCAACAGATCGTTTATTAAGGAAAATCAACACATATTTATAGATTTTAATGTACATTATTGTAGATTAATGTTAGAAGAAAATACAGTCTTTCGATTGGCTGTTTCTCACAAAAAGTTAACTTTGCATCTCTTTGTGGCTGTGTCAGATCATCCATATGCTAACTGTATCCACCTACACAAAGCCTTTGTTATCATTTTCTCACCACCAATATTGGGGACATAAAAAATTGACGTCAATTACTGTCTACCAACTTTGGCTAGCAGCCAGCTCTCACTACAATATCACATTATATGATCTGCCTTATACCATAAATAGTAATCAGACGAGCTGAACAGCCATTCAGTGTTTCGATTACCTCTGTTTGGCTACCAAACACTATTGGTTGATGTGAGTAGTAATCAAATAATCACCTCAATTAATCGATCAGTAACATGTAGTTTAATGCATTTACCTTTGCTTTCTTTAGTACCATTTTTCGTATCGAGCAGATCGCGTACTGTGATCTGAATAATTTGGTCTCTTAGGAAAACTGTTGCGAACAATTCTCTCCTCGAACTGTGTTCATCGTAAATGGCTAAATAATTTACAAATTGTAAATTTGGCGGAGACATTTTGAGTGACACCTAGTGCCTTTTTCTGTAATATAAGTGCTACTGTACAGCTCGAAAATAAAGTTACATAGGGGGAAATATTTCTTTTCTGAAAAAAGCTGTTTCTCGTTCTTACGATGTGTTTGGAATAGTTTTAGGAATTTGTGCAGGATATAAGGAAACAGAAATCATGCTATATAAGCTTACTGTTTTAACATTGAAGAACGCTTTACCATCGTTGGTCCCCATTAGAATCACTTGTTTAATTCTGTTAGTCACTACTTTCATGCTAACGTCTATTCGACTAATATTTGTTTGTCTTCCGAATAAAATATTGACATAACGTAATATTTGGGAAGGTCCTGGACGTAGAAGTGGTTTGAATCCGACAATCGAAGTTGGCCGTATTTCTTCTTTTAGGAAACCAGCATAAGGTGCTGCAAATGTGGTGATCTGGCATGGTTGAATCACTTGAGTGTTAGATAGGCCTAGATTTTCTTCACAAACTGCGCCTATAAAACATTAAGGTATGAATATTAATAATAGCTGATTATATCTCAAAGCTTGAAGAAGAATATGCACACACACATTAAACCTAAATTATCGCTAGATGGTTTGTGTGCGTCTGTGGTATAGTGGTTAGGACGCTCGCCGACCATGCACGTCATCTGGGGTTCGATCCTCGGCCGATCCACTCCTTTACCTCGCTGAGCCAGAATTAATGCTGGTAAAGAGGAAAGGTTGGGCATGAGGCTAGTAACCCCATCCTGTAAAATAAACACTGCTACAGAAACTCTAAGCCACTAGCTTGAAGCCCTATGTTCCACTGGGGAACGTGAAGAAAGAAAAAAACTGCTAGATGATGAAGGAAGTCGACGGGAAGCCTTGAGACCAGGTTTCTTGCGTGTTGACACTTATCAGAAAGGCGTATTTGCAGTTTTGAGAAAACTTATTGTAACAGAATAACTGTTCGGAAAACTCACTCTTAGTGACCTAATTATAGTATTTATTCCTATTTGGACGTGTCAGCTTTGTAATTATTATCCGTTTTTCTCTCATTCTTATGACATCTACATATCACATGTTGATTCGACCCTTACTGTTTCTCTTCGTCCATGTTTCATCTCTTTATGGTTGTGCAAAACATTGGTAATGTGTTATCTTACGAAATGAACCAAGATCATTCTGAAATTGAATTACTGTCTATGAGAAGCGTTAGTGTGTGATTCCTGTAGACAGGCTTTTGATCCTATCTTGTAGGGGATACTCTTCCTGACCCTCAGATAAGTAGTTTTGGGTTTCGTATGCTTTTATCGCTGAATAGAACCACAAAGATCAATCGATGAATAACCGTCTTTTTGCTGTGTTTGGAGCATTTCGTGACTAGGCGTCCGCCAAGGAAGTTTCGGTTGGTTACACAGTAGGACGAAGATCGGTTTCATGCGTTTAGACTGTAACGAGTCGGTTTTGTTCGTTACACACTTGTCTGTTCTGAGATTCGAACACTGGTCAACTAATGCTGCTGTGAGAGACTCAAAATTTGAATCACTTTGACTGATGTGTATATAGAACGTCTAGTAATGTAGGTTAACACTTTCTAACAGAATCCAAACTACATGAAGTTCTCAATGAAAGCGTCTTTTTATATACAAATTTACCAGCAAACCAATAAATTCTGCTATTGATTTTTTAATAATAATAGCTTTATTCTGAACATGTTTGTATACAGTACAGAATATTCAGCTTGACTTTACCTACTCCTTACACAAAATCTCCGCGAAAAACGGTAATCTACTGTGTATATATTATTAGACGGAATTTCGTCAAATCTCAAAAATGCTCCAACTCCCGTACGTATATATCCTTCAAAACACACCTGACTGATGTTGGCTGATGACTAAAATCTTACTGTTAGAAATGAATCTCGAATCCACATAAATCCTATAATCTGGATTTATGAATGGATTGGAATGATCTCTTTGTGTTCACAGTCGACACTTTTGACTCATAGAATGTGCATTATATGAGAAATATTTTGAAGGGTAATAGGTTAACTTTTGATCAGTAAAGATGTTCGCTTACCTGTTTCACCCGTTGTTGTTGTTGACCTTCTAACCTTTACGACAACACTTTTCATAATTCTCTTCACTGGTGAAGTTTTACAAGCATTCATTGTGGTTGGATTACGATTGTAGATTAGGCAAACTAGTTCACCAATGATAGTTAGATTTGCCTCTGTTTTACTACCAGGAAATGTTACTACATCGTTTAAAGTCAATTTTAATCCAAGAGTTATGTTATTGTCGAAACGGAAACCAGTTGTCTGAAGTGAAAATGAGTTTCAAAACAAGTGAAATAAAATTGTATTCAAAAATGGAGATAATAGTTCACAATGAGATTATCAGTAGTATGTATACGCGTCAGAGGGATATGTGGAAAGGATCAAAGGAGTTCGTCAAATCAAGTGAATTTCAGTCGTTTCACCTTCGATGACCAATTTTCTTTGTCTGTGCAGGTTGAAACACACCGTAGACAGTTGAATTATCAAGGGAGAAAATCTCGGCACTATACTATCTTCGTATCACCATTAATAAGTACATCTTTGAGCAGTCGTAACTGTTATATTCTCCCTTCACTAATTGAGGCAGTGTAGTGTGGCCAAATCTCACGTGAAGCATGATAGATGGTCACATATCAATAATGAGCGTTATTCCTGGTTGAAACCAACCGGAAGCGAGCTCTAGATTGTTCAAGCAACCTAACTAACTGGTTTCCTAGGCGTGTTTAATCAATAATTAGCTGTTTTATTATTATACATAAATTTCTGAGGATTTACATGTCCGTATTGTGACTTGACAGATCATCTTTTTGACAGTATAATTTTTTTAAGCATAGGTGGAACGGACAAAGATATCAAAGCTAGACGGGATCGGAAAGGCAACATAAACCTTCATCAACCTCAAACCAGTTTGGAAATCTTCTGCTTCACTCAGACAGCATAAGCATCAAGACTCGGATTTTCAACAAAAATGTGAAGTCAGTCAGTCAGTTCTTCTATACGGGTCAGAAACTTGCAGTGAGTGTCACGAATAGGATTTCCAACAAGTAACAGACTTTTGTCAACAGTTACCTCCGCTGGCCACGTACTGAAGATCAAATTGCCAGCCAGCCAAAAAGAATTGGCAACAAGAAACTCTGGCAGCAAACCAACCAAAAGCCAATTACTGAACATTGAGGAGATCGTATTATGACATCGCGTGCAATGCATACCACTGCTTCAGTGGTTTCCCAGTGGGAAGCGATGAGTTGGTCGCCAGTGGGAGGGCGACATGGAGGAGATCGTGTGTTGGGGGGGGGGAGAAATTGAGAGATTATGGACAATCGTGGAGCTAGCCAGCTGAAGAGGATAGCAGAAAGTAGAACAAAAGTTTGCTGTTTTGTTGAATCCCTATTTTCCACTTGGAACCCAAGAATATAGTAATATATAACTGAAAGAAATATGAATAAACATATGGGACGTTAATGCTTTACGTCGACATGATTCCTTTCGTCTTCCTTCTATTTTCATCGCTTCAGTTACTAGAGGAAAATGGGGCTTCGGGATAAAGGACTTGAATTTCAAGCAGTAGTGGTGCTGTTTTTATGGATTGCAGTTAGTTCCCGCAAGTCTAACGTTTCCTCTTTAAAAGGCTTTTTTGCGACCAGTAAATCATATGAAGTTCAGGGGTAGATCGGTCAGGAATCGAATTATTTTGTTGTTTGGCAAATGTTCGATCGCTAAACCACCGGTACCAACATTGTAATTAACTCTAAGTTCAAAGGATTTATGTGACACGCTTATTGTTAAGACAACTATGCAACTGAAATAACGCCAGCGAGCTTACTATTCTTTCTGATAGATCGAGAGAGAAGCCACTCAAAATATAAGTGATGCGTGTTTTAATTGCATCTGCTTCAGAGTAAACACAATACCAGACAAAACATCATCATAATTATCAATATGAATATACGCCTATTTAAATATATTTTACTTCAAAATATCGCTGATTACATTAGAACGATTGATTGATGAGAATTTCATACAAAGTCGAATTATGTTTGGGCCACTTTCAACCACCTTTAGTTCAATATTATCATTATTATAATTCCTTCTCGTTCTTGGTGGAACGTAGGGTTCCAACAGAATGTCTCCATTTCATCGTGTTCTCTTCAGTCTTGTTTTAGCTCACCACATTATTGCCGATAAGCTTTCATCTTCTCCTCACACGATCTCCTCTATTTCACCCAAGGATCAGTGCCTAACTTATCTCTAGTTTCAAGTGTTGGTTTGTAGGGATTTGATTGGTTACAGGATTTTCATCAATTTGATTGGTTAAAGGATCTTCATCACTCTAGTTTTCATCTCTATTTTCTTATTCAGGTGATAGCCTGGCACGCGATGTCACTTAACGGTCTCCTCAGTGTGTGTTCAATGCACCTCTGTTTCCTTCGGCATATTCGTTGAGTAGTAGGTTCTTGGATCAGCTTTTCTTTCTACTACTTACTATTTTCTCTATTCTTTTTTCTGCTGATTTTTTTCTTATTGGTTGACATCATTCGTTATAAAGTTATTCAATAACGTTTTTGTACTGGGTTCATTATGTTTACCTACAGAGTCATATAAAAACCAAGATGAGGAAGATTAAATCAACTGAGACTTAACCTGACTACTTCAACGTGATGAGCACACACATCGATCAATCTGTCTATCAGTTGTTGGTTTACAAGGATTCGATTTATTTCCAGTTTGACTGCAAACTTACGTCAGTTAGAGAACCGTTGAAAAGCAAAAATTGGTATACAGCAAAAGTAGTACTTCACGGGAGCGTAGATAAGATGGGGGTGATTAAGATAACCAAAATATCCACCGACACTGGCAAGCGACAGTCACTACCAACGGAGTAAATCTGTATGAGGTTACTTCCTTCACTTATCTGGCTGTGCATAACCATCTCAATTACAGGCGACAGCACGGATGAGGATGGCTAGGCAGACCTTCATCACTTTGGAATCAGAGCAGAAAACTTCTGCGCCCAGCATGAGGAACAATATACGGATTTTAAACATCAGTGTTGTAACAGTTAATTTTTCTATATAGGTAGACAGTTGGAGTATCACAAGAAGTATTTCCAGTAAGTTAAAGACTTTTTAAGCAGCTGTCTTGCTGGTTCCAGACTTAAAGTCAGATGGGGGGTCAGAAAGAACTAGCAACAAGAAATAAATGGAAGGAACCAATCAAGAACCTACTGCCTGACAAATATGTGGTAAAATATGGAGATGGCGAGGATCCAAGCTGAGGCGACCACGCAGGCAGTCCCTCGAATGGACTCCAAATTGTGAGAGTGACATGTGAGAGACCATGTGAGGAGAAGAAGAGTCTGTGGGCAGTCGTGCAGCTAGCTAAGAAGAGCTACAGAGGACAAGGTGAAATGGCGATGTGCTGTTGAAGCCCTGTGTTTCAGTCGGAACCCAAATGAATAACAATATACAATAGTAGCGCCTATTTATTTTAGTTTGTGACCCTTCAGTGGTGCACACTCATAATCCCTCCATTTACCAAACAAATGATAAAAGTTAGGATTCACTGGCTGTCAGAACTCGTCTTACTGACTCGATGTTCAGTGGGCTCCTAAAGTGAAGAAAGCTCTTTGGTTTGATGCCATGTATAATCGTGGATACGCAGTGCTGAAGTGTCACTAACTAATTTAAAATGGCTTTCCAATACTCCACAGTTTCCAGTGATTATCTAACTGACATCAATTCGTGACGTAAATTAAAATCACTCCGCTGACATAAGGATTCGTATATAAGCTAACACAAATTAAAGACCAATCGCATGCTTACTTCGAAACGTGTAAATCCTCTGCCTATTACAGTTGCATTTGGTTTAAACTGAAGAGAATCTGTCGGAAGCGAATAAGAAATCTCGGCTGACTTCACAGCCATACTATGATAAATATTTAAAAGTTGTTTTGAACATTCCATTTTTGAAGTGTTTAGCATACGGATCCCAACTGTGAGATTTATGATATCGCTGAAAAATAATGTGAATAAAACAAGAATTAAAAGTAAGGTGCTTAGAAACATTGAACGAAAAGTGAAATTCTATGTCTAATGCATTTAACTTAAGGGTGAAAATCGATGAACAGTTTTATGTAGAATGTAAGAAGTAAATACTCTAGCTGCACAGAAGGTCATTCATGGAGAGGATAACGGTAGCTACCAACAAACAAATCAATGTGCAATAAATACTCATAGAAACAAAGATGCATAAAACAATATACTACTGATTGGTTAAGATGAGTAGTTGAATACCACTCATATCAACTAGTAGGGCTTGTCAACAAGCCGAATCGAAGTGGTTTAACACACCGGTCGTCCTCTTTGCTTGTCCAGGCCCATCCTCATCAGTAGTCTACCCCGTTTGATGTGGTTTGGGATGTCGATTAAGTTCACATCACCCGATTTCCGGCTAGCTGAGGAGGCAAACTGGTAACACCATAAATCAGATTTGCAGTTTGGAAATTAATTTGCATTTTACATAGTTAGTGGCGATTATTTTACCACAGTTTCCTCCAGGGACCGAAATTATTGAGATCAGTGGCATATTACTTATATGACCTTGTTCCCAAACGAATGAAGCGGTCGTCCGGTGTTTACATCAACTCAGTATGGCTTGTTGGCAAGAGCTACTGGTTGATATGGGTGGGATACAACTATTCATCTCCACCCATAAGTAGTATGTATTTCCATGTGAATGTGCCTGCTTTCATGATTACCATTTCTGTTATCAAGATCCGAACAGTTTCATCTGGAAAGCAAACTGCATTTGATTGCATGGAGGATTTTTTGATCATGAGCTGACGTCAGTTAGAGAACCACTGAAAAACCAGCTGGGAGAACTGGACAGCTGTTTCGTCCTGGTTTGGAACTCTTCATCAGTAAGCACCCACCAGGGTTCGAATCAAGGACCTTCTGGTTACAAGGTGAGCCAGCTCTTAGACAATTGAGCCACTGGGACCCAATCCAATGTTCCTTGAATTCTGACTTCTGCCAATTCACGATATGGCGCGATCGTTTCGCAATCTCTTCTTCGATCAGTTACTGCCGTCTCTTCAACCTGCTGTACCCTACTGGTCACGACGTTCCACTAGAATGTACCTGAATAGGACCAGTCGCTAGTGAGCATCATATTTATTTTCAGTTATTGGTTTTGCAGGGATTTTGTTTGATTGCATGAAGGTTTCTTTTGACAAATGGCTAACTAATTAGCAAATTTCTAAGTGGAAAAAACATATAAGCAATTGGTATGTTTATCAAACAAATAATTACTTTCTTGGAAGATTTGTTGATCAAACTTGTGTTGTTATAAGAATTCCCTGACACTGATGTACTAACTACCTTTTTAAAGGTTCTTATGCAATGAATTCGACTTTTGAAATTTATCTCTGAGAGACTTTTCGCATATAATTCAATAAATAGTCACGTATACTTACATTCTAACAAATTAAACAGAGTAAACTGCAATGCTTCTTAGCAAAACGTTTTGAACAAAGAAATTAATTACGAGAGGTAAATTTCATAGTGAAGCGAAGCAGCTGTACAATCGCAAGACTCATAGGTAATGAAATAAAACGCAAAATGAACAAAGAGAACTACATCTCTGTGTTGAAAATGCTATGCATGAATGTGGCGTTCGAATGTGACCTTCTGGCCCAAACTCTTTTAAGAAGAGAATATCAAGCACTCCCCAAACAGGACATTCCTTGCTTATGCATTAACAGTTGTATTCTCATGCCATCCAGCATCTTCTTATAAACAATAGTAATCGACAATCTCCATATTTATTTACCAATTCAATTTCTCCTTTGGACTGAGATATATAGGCACTCCAATGTGTGTTTTATGCATAATAGTCAAGGGACATTATCGCGCATGGCTACAAAATGGTCCTGATGGATCTATAAGGACTGCTTCGACTGAAGACCATATGTATCAGTGAAACAGTGCTAATACTTAGGCATGAAATAATATTCAGATAACAATATATCCACTAATTTTATTAACCGTATTTTTGGTTTTAGATGGTTGAAGGCAATCGACAAGAAACCTTGTGATGTGAGTTTGAATTTCAGAAGGGACATGAGTACCTTCAAGGCTGCAGATATGCCTTGCTGACTGGTGAGTGCCAACTAGCATAAAAACCTAGGTTCAAGGCTTCCTGCCTCCAACCATCTAATGCCGACAATTCAATTCACAGTACACGGTGGTGGCGAGCCACCTAGTATGCTGACCAGATTGCAAACTTTACTGACATAATTCAGTCTGCACCAAAGATAGGACTAGACATGCACACATTACACTAGTTGCTGACTGGTGTCAAATAGAACATATATATTAATTATATATCAATAAACTTACTTTGGAAGATACGTCATACCAGTCATACTCAAATCGGAATTTACGAAGTCCATCACTAAATTAAGCGTCTCCTTACCATCTCTAAAAACTATACCTCCCATTTGTGAAACAGCTTTAATGCTGCCAAACTGAGCAGAAATAGGAAGGTTGATCACTGATCCATTTGAGGCAAATTTACTATCAGCCAAGCGTATTGACACACTAACACCGATGTCATTTTCTGCTAATGTAGATGAATCAGGTTGTAAATTGAAGCCTAAAAGGTAGGTAAAATGTGATAAGTCCCTCATTTACGCAGAAGACGTGTTCAGTACTGATATTCTTAACTATTAATAAGTATTACAAACCTCACCTAGATAACTAGTCCATCAGTTTTTTAGTCGAACCCAGGCAGAGAGAAATAGGGAAGGTCAGGCGTAGGGCTAGTGATCCTACTCCGGAATATCAATTCATTAGCTACAGAAACTTCAAAGCACAACGAAAATATGTAAAAACAAACTTATTCTTCACTGGGGCCAGTGAGACGGAATGAAGCAGACTGGCGAAAGTCTTCAGGAAACCAGTCAGTTTCTCATTGTGCTTTTTTCGATGAAAATCGAAAATAAGCATTGAGGGCATGCAGTGTTTGCACGATGTACGATGCTGGGAAGGCTGTATAGGTTAACAAAGTTATTAGAAGATATGACACAGAAGTGGCAGGCATCTGCGAAAGGGGATGGAATCGACGTGGACTTTCCAAACTGTTAACTGGAGAATCAATAATTTTTACATTGGGTGACAGGCTGTTGAGTGGAACCCAAATGGGAAACGAAAACTTGGGCATTCGAGAGTAAAATGATGTGGTGCTGAAGTCCTATGTTTTACCTGGGAGCCATGGGAATAATTTCAATAAAACAATACAATACGATACGAAGATGTTATCAAATAAGCTCGCAGACTACTTTAAAATAAAAGACGTTTTCTATGAGTGGTTCTTATCGTGTTTCTCTCAAAATGATTAAACATATACACATAATGCTTCTGATTCTGATTTTATGCAAATTAAATTTGATATAGAATTAAATTAGTTTAATTCGATCAAAAGGAATTTGATTAATATGAGTAATTTGGTGAGATTTTTTAAACAAAAGTACTGCTTTTCGATTGTAAATAAGATTTTATTTTGATAAGTCACACAAGGAGAATTATCTGTGATGTTAGATTGTAAAATAAAACGAACAGAAGGTAAACTACACACTAGTGTTTATAAAAAGACAACGCGTTCTAATAGATATTTAAACTTTAATTCATCTCATCCGTTAACTGTTAAGGCAGGCTTAGTTAAGTGTCTAACAAACCAAGCCATAGCACTAAGTAGCGCAAGAAAAGACCTAATTGACGAAATAAAACAGAGAGAAGAGGCATTGGTGTTAAATAACCACCCTATAAAATTCATTGGGAAAATCGAGAAAGACCAAAAGCAAAATAAAAATAATTGTGAAACTAGAATATAAGTCATCTACTGTTATACCATATAAGGAGGGGACATCTAAGACCCTACGTAGGATTTTTAATAAAGCAGGAATTAGGGTTGCATTCAAACCTAAAAACTCACTCAGAGACAAGCTCTGTGGGTCAAAGGACCCAGATGATCCAATTAAACAAAATAGTATAATTTACAAAATAACCTGGAATGACTGTGAGGTCAGTTATATAGGTCAAACTTGTAGATCGGGGGTAGTCAGATTGGCGGAACATAAGAATTTAGCTAAGGTTAGAACGATTGGTCCCACGAAGACAAGTAATTTAGAAAAATGCCCAGCAACTGCAATACATGCATCAACACACAACCACACAATAGGGTGGGAGAGGGTTAAGATTCTAAGAAGTAATCTATGTAGGTGGAGAGACAGATTGATTACTGAATCCTGGTTCATTGAGTCTAAACCCAATACATACAACAGAAATGATTCAATGCAAATACCAGAAATATGGAAGATATTATTACCACCAGTCAAATCAGAAGAGGATAATAAATAATCTCAAAATTCTATTTCAATTCAAACACATCACAACATTCTAACAAGTTAATTATTTTTACTTTAAAAATCATGTTATTTCCAAGGTGATTGTATTTGATCAGCAACACTCATTTTATTATTTCTGAGTGTACATTATCTCATATTGATTTTTATTCAAATATCTGGTCAATTCCACACATGTATATAAATGAAGGAAAACGTTGTGTGAGTAACTTGATATGATTATGAGCAATAGTTTGTGCTCGAAACGTGGTCATCAGTTAATATTACTGTGTAACACTGTGTGGTTTATCAAAATAAAATCTTATCTATAATGGAGTTATACTCTACCACAGTGCCCAAGTCTTATACTTATATCAGTAATACTATTTTTCGAATTTTGAAGGACTACAAGTCACTAACCGTCAACATAATAAAGTAAAAAGTGTATGGTACAATGCTACTTATTACACAATGATTTTCAACACAATTTATTATGTGTACGGTTATTAACTTTTATCTGAGATTAGTTTTATAGTTCCATGTGTTAATTTAAATTTTTGTTGACAGTGGAAGTTAAGAGAGCTTTTCTTCGCTTCATTGGTCTGCAACTACGGAAGTTTCTCAGTCAACCATTCCATGATGGTTTTCTGTGGAGAGACGTTTCAAGAGTTCCGTCATCTTTTCCTGTCAATTCCACGTGAAGGAAAGGAATCTTTGATTCATTTTCTAATTCCATTGTTAATTTCATTGAAGGACGGCTATTCTAAACAGTATGAAAAACAAACTCCTGCATATGGCCACACTCCGATGTGCGTAAATCAGTTCACTTGCTCCTATAGAGATAGGTACACAGGTCCTTGTTTGTGTGTCCTTTCAAAATGTGTTGCAGAACACCACCTAGCATGGCTGTAAGGAGGTAGCACTAGCTCCACCAGAACACCTCGTCATTATCTGTCATAGAATTCTAAGTGACTGATCATTCAGAGTCATATACAAAGTAAAGTGTGTTTACGACTGTTTTGAACATGAGTAAACGTAGCGAAATACAGAGAAAATATATAAGCATTATTATAGGCATACATTCTGATAAATATATATAGTACTAGATTTCTGTTTCACCCTAGTTTGGAACTCTTCAGTAGTACGCACCCACCACCAGGGTTTGAACTCAGGATCTTTCGGTTACACCGAATCTCCTGTGCCCCACTGATCAACCAGGTAACTACCTATCTGAATAAGAACAGTCGCTAGTGAGCCCGAAGCCCTAGTAGCAACTGTCCTTATTCAGATAGGGAATATCTGGGTGGCCAGTGGGAACAGTAGACCGCGTGTAAGGACAAATAGTTGTCAGCGATGACACTGGCTAGTGGTCACACTACACAGTCAATTGGTGGAAGCTGAAATTCATGGGCTACTGAATTAAGTCTCAGTGCCTTAATTGTCTACTGGCTCGCTGGCCTTGTAAGTGGATGGTCCTGAGTTCAAACCCTTGCAGTAGGTACGTACTGATGAGGAGTTCCAAACTAGGACGAAACAACTGCCCAGTTTCTAATGGTTCTCTCACTGATGTCACCAATTGATTAAATCCCTGCAAATCAATACTTGAATATTCAGAACTTCTTACTCATAGTCCTCCTGAAGACTGAATCCATGGATTCTAATATTTGCAAATTCTGGTTGTCTTCTACCATTGCCAGTATTTTTCTGCATATCTAACTAGGTCGACTCCTCTGGCCACGGCATCTCACTAGAGCATCAGGCAACTTCATTTTGTAGTCAGTCACCAGTGATTATTATTATTATTATTGTTCCCTTGGGTTCCTAGTTGAACGTAGGGCTTCAACCACACGTCTCCACTTGTTTCTGTCTGCTGCTGTACTTTTCACCTGCGTCCATGTAAGTCCATACTGTTTCAGCTCCTTTTCACACGATCTGTTCCATGTCACTCTTGTACCGACGTCCCACTCGCCGCTTCCCTTTCGGGTTCCACTCGAGCACTGTCCTGACGCGCGATGTCACCCAGCGGCCTCCTCAGTGAGTGTCCAATCCACCTCCACTTTCTCCTGCATATTTGTTGGGCGATTGGTTCTTGTTTTGTTTGTTCTCATACTTTCTTGTTGGTGATTCTTTCCGGCCATCTGATCTTGAAAATAGAACGAAGACAGTTGTTGGTCAATGTCTGCAACAGGCTGTTGGAAATTTTCTGTGTGACCCGTCAAGTTTCTGATCCGTATAGAAGAACTGACTGACTTGACGTTTGTATTGAAAATCCGAATTTTGTTGTTGATGTTAAGTGATGAAGATTTCCAGATTGGTTTCAGGTTGATGAACGTGTTTCTCGCCTTCGCGATTCTCGATTTGACATCCTCGTCCGTTCCTCCTGTAGTTGAGACAATGCTCTGTAGATAAGTGAATGAAGTAACCTCTTTCAAATCTCTCCCAGTTACCAGTCATCAGTGAGCACGAGAATAATTTTAAGTATTCGATTTCAGGGATTTGAAAATTGATCACGAACTGGTTTCAATTAGAGAAGTTGTAGTGAAAGTAGGGATATTCATCCATTTGCAATATACGTGGGATTTCATTGCTATGACACCATAGCGGTAAAGTATCATGAATTAAGATTGTAATCCTCATATTTTAAATGAGCTGGTGTTAAACATCTTAATGTTAATTTGCGGAATTAAATAAGTAATATAACTAGTATTCATCCGTACGTACCTTATGAAGGAAATTAAAACCTGTTGAAGTAGATTAAATTACATTTATTTTGCCTACCCTGTGCTTTCCAATCCTCAATACATTTTATTTATTCCTTGCATTCTTAAGATGCATATTAAATGCAAATGAAACTTTAGGTAAATTTCAATTTTCTCACCTACTGGCTCCTTGTACGAACGCTTCAAGGGTGTCTGAGGATTAAGGTGAAGTAATTTTTGACTGATGGGGACTAGCACTGGAGTCAATTTTGGCCCTATCTGGGACTTATCAACTGAATGGGAACACTATCACTCCCTGTGAATACAGGGGTACTCCATGATGACAAGTCCCAAATAGATTGAAATACGCCTCCTGGATTCCACTACTAATCATCGCCGCCTTTCAAAACATTATTCTAAGGTACTGAATTATTAACTTAAAAAAGTATTTCTTACCTGGGTTGATAACATTTCCCAATATCACTTCTAATTTATCTTGCTGTCCATATTTATATGTTGATGTGTATACATATTTAGGTTGTACATTACGCAATGCTGCCAAATTAGATCCAAATGTCAAAGACACACCGTTTACAGTAAATGCTGATTCCATTTCAACACTGTCATTAGCACCACCGATGATAATAGATAAATTGGGCATATATGAAGCAATAGGGACTTGAAGATTGAATGTGATTCTTTGCCAGACACCTGGTTGAAATAAGCTCCCAGTGGTAATATTTTTAATCATGAGTAACTAAAATAAAGTATATATATATATATATATTTAAAGGAAGTGTTTCAGTGAATGGTTTATGTGGAAGGTGTGTTGAATATAACTGACCCCGCTTATACCGTGAAAGAATCTCTTTATGTACCTAACAAAAGTTACGTGCAAATAAAATGTGTCAGTATCATTTCAGCAGTTCCTATGTTCATAAATGTACATAGGTAGTTCTATAAGTTTCTTTTCATAACATGTCACAGAACAATATCTAGCATGGCTGCAAGGAGGCAGAAATGGTTCAGTCAGAAGCGCTATAAAGGAACTTCTCGTCAACACCTCACATTAATATTTCAACTGACTCATTATTCAGCATCATTTACAAAGGCAACGCTAATCTACCAAAGACAATGTGTCCCTTAATTCTTTAAAATGCAAAATCACTCGCTATATGCATCTGGAAGTCACAACTGTGTGTTCAAATTGGGCTAGTTCAGCCTTTGCATTTACAATGGATCTAGTCTTGTTTATTATTATTCGCTTTGGTTCCGAATGGAACCTAGGGCCTTAAAAGCACACCATTATTTTACTACGTTCTTTGCAGTCCTCTTCAATTAGTCTCATGACTGTCGAAAGCTGTAATCTCCTCACACGACCTTTTCCGTGTCATTCTTGGACCCATGTTCAAATCGTCGTTTCTCATTCGAGTTTCACTAGAGAGCTGGAGATTTCACTCATTCGGTTACCCCAGAGTATGTCCAGGAGATCTACATTATTTCCACATGGCTCAAGAGGAATAAGTTTATAGTTGACTCATTCACAGCATTTCTTTCTGCTGATTCTTTCTGGCCCAACATCTGATCTTCAGTATTGAGCCAGCGAAGGCAGCTATTGGTGAAAGTCTGCAGTGGCCTGTTGTAAATGAAATTCGTGGTAGACCAAGTTTCCGATCAATTTAGAAGAACTGAATTGACATTAGTGTTGAAAACAGGATACTGTTCCTCTTGCTGAGGGCAGTAGGTTACGCATTGAATTTAGAATGATAAAGGTTCGCCCTACCTTCCCGATTCTGGTTTTGATATCCTCATCCTTTCTCTTGCCTGTACTTAAAATAGTGGTGCTCAGATAAGTGAAGGAGATAACTTCAATCAGGTTTCTCAAATGGATAATGATTGTTGTTGTTTGCTGTTGGTGTTGTTTGGGTGTCTTCATCACCTCCATCTTCCTTATGTTCACTTCAAGTAATATCTCTAATACTCTGCAAATCTACCAGCTTGTTGGTCATCACCAATAGGTATTTTAAGTTACGTGACACTAGAAATAAGGCATCGACGAAATTCAAGTCTTCTAGGATGTTGTTATCGGTGCAACGTATCTCTATCTTATTGCTTCCCATAGTCTACCACATATTTCAGTTAACCACGATTAGAAGTATAGTAGGTGATATTGAACAGCTTCGTCTTACTCCTGTTTTCACTTTAAAAGCTTCAGTAAGTTTTTCGTCGTGGATCGACTAACACGAGACATTATCATATAGCTGGTGAACGAGATTGATAAATATTTGGGAAACTTTATTCTGTATTGTTGATGTATTTCAAAAATGACTTCGCTGCCAGTGATGTCGAAGGCTTTTCCAAAGTCGATGAAGTTGAGGCGAATATTTGGCCGCCATTCTATATTCTGTCCGACTTTGATACGGAGCTTTATGATTTGTTCTGTAATTGTTCTGCATTTCCTAGATCCAGCTGCTTCCTGGTAGCAGGAGTTGCATCCACAGTTTCTTTCAATCACATCAGTAAGACACAGCTTAGGAATTTGCTTGAAGTAGACAGGAACGTCATTCCGCACCAGTTTTGCTAGGGCGTCATTTACACTTCTTTGGTAGATTGATAAGTTAGTCTTTCTTCGAATCAGTGTGCAGTTTTCCTTCCTCCCAAATGTTTTACAATGAAGGCGTTAGCATGTCTCTAACGGTATCCAGATCTAATTTCAGTGTTTCAGTAAGACTTCCTTCCAATCCTGTTGTTTCTTTGACTTTCGATATCTTGACTGAATTCAAGTCTTCTGCTTTTGTTGTAGAATTGCTGCTCATTGGCAGTTCTGCACCTGCAGTTGGTGGTGGTATTTTTTCATTAGTTACAGGTGATGGGCGATTCAAGAATTATTTGAAGTGACCAGCTCATTGTTATATTTGTTTCTCCTCCTTGATAATCAAGTTCCCTTGAACATCTTTTATTGGTTTCAGCTACGTTGATCTAACCCCAGGTAGAGAGAGACCTGGTTATCTGAAATAATGTCCTCAGGTCTCTTTTACCTGAAACCTTCCTGTTCAGCTTCAGTTGCCAAACAGTGTGTTACTGGACTGTCTTTTGTCCTTTCCAGCACTATTCACTTCTTTATTCAGTGCAATGAAAATTTAACTCAGCTTCTCCTTCTATTGTCCATCTTTGAATTGAGTCATCTTCTCTTTCAACATCGTCCTCTCTTCTATTGTATTAGCTTCTACGTATGTGTCCTTTGAGAGCCATTCCTTGTCTTGCTTCTCCTCTCTTCCTAGAACAATAGTGCATAGTTCTTGAACATTACATTCAGAGAGTTGGTTCCAATGTTCTTCTACGCAGGTTTCCTCATTAATGCCACGTACTGCCTCCGACTTTGCCCTGATCTGATCTGTAGTGAAGGCGTCCCTTGGAGTTTTATCCTTCAGTTTCTGAATGTTGAACTTGAATTACAGTGGCCTGTATCCAGTTTTTCTGAAGGATTTTAGCTTCGCCTTGAAGGTTCCTTGAACTAGGTGATGGTCTGAACCCACATCTGCTCCCCTTCTAAACTTTGTGTGCAATAGCTAGCTGCGCCTCCAAATCGTTGAGCAGCATTGAGGTGAAATCTGTCTGGTTTGTTTTGTGTCCGTTAGGCTACATCCGTGTTGCTTTTTGGATGTCCTTGTGCTTGTACATGCTGCCTCCATTCACCAAACCATTTGAGAGCACATACGTCTGTGAATAATCCTCCGTTCTGATTGAAATCTAGGAGAGCCTCCCCACCCGTGATGAGTTCTCGTACTGTATTGTCTGGGCCCAGTTTGGCTAAAATTCATTTCGGACTCATATAGGATTCCGATGTCTCCATTTGGGATGTTGTCCATTACTGTTTGTAGTTGTCTGCAAAAGCCTTCTTTCTTTCTTGTCCCACGTTGTTTTTAGAACTGCGCGTTGCATTGAATAATTGTAACCTTCCTTCCTTTGGAGTTGAATCTTGCTGTCATGATCCTGGATGAAATTGGTTCCCACTGCATTAGTACTTTGGCTGCTACTGGTGAAATCATTACGGCCACTCCCTCAATGTCTTTGTGATTGTCGTCTGGGTAACTGAAGTAGATTAGTGACTCTCTAATTGATGATTTTGACAGTCCACACAAACTCTAAATGCTCTCACAGATTACCACCTAGACAACATTTATCCTCTTTTTTTTGGAATCCTCGACATTCCTTGCAGCTTCGTACACCTTACGAACATTCCATCTCCTCATCCTCATCAAGTGAAGACACATCGGCTATCTAACTGGATTCCTGGAGACTTCTATCGGCTCGTGTCATTCTGTCTCTCCGATTCCAATGAAAACCAAGTTTGTTTTTTATATTTTTGTTGCGCTTTGGAACTTCCGTAGCTGTTGGATTGATTTTCGGGGGTAGGGTCGCAATCCTTATTCGCAGCGTCCCCTCTTATCCCTGGTTTGGTATTGGCTAGAAAACTAGCGAACTAGTAGCCTTGGAGAAGTTGTCTGGTCTTGTTTGGTTTATTTTTCCTTCTGTTTTTTCATCTGCTTCGTTATTCTCTATCTCCAGTTATTTCAAATTACTTCTGAAGACATCCCGATCACATCTATTTTCGACAGTATTTATTTTGCGTATTTCACAAATATTTTCAACTTCTGGTAAGTGGTATTTCACTAGGGTATTCAAATACTGCTTTCTCCGCTGCGACCATCTTTTTAATAATTCCTGCAATCCAGTGTGTAGATTCCGTGAAACACTGTTTTTGCCCAATTTTGTCTTGTTGAACGACTTTGTAACATTCCAATGTACTTTCAGTCCTGTTTTCGTAATCCTGGTCCCTGTGCCCTCTTGTGATTTATATTCATTTCTCATCACACCTGATAACTTTCATATCAAGTTTAGAATTATTACTACTGGCTGTTTTGAATCTCAGCTTTATTACAATGCCAAAATGATTAATAGCAATCGTAACTATGTTAACTTGTGCATATAAGTTACAGTGGGGAGCTATGGAGCATTAAAACTGTGAAAGAGTTATCTCTGTCTACTGCACTTCTATCAAATAATGTTGTGGAAAGGTTCTTTACTGTAGATGAACTCGAAGAGGAATTAAAGAAACCCTTTGCTGGATTATTTGAAGGAAATTGCTGAGGAAGACGAAAGAAAAGAAACGAACCAAGTTATTACACAGCTGAGAAATCAAAACCCCAGAAAAAGCAATTTCCTCCAAACCCTGATTTCGACATTTATAATTTCTAGGATGTTGGTTGGTCCTTGATGAGATAGACTTGCAAGTATTATTCGCTTGAACCAAAGTTCTGTGATAATTATGTTAGAATTAATGAAATGGATATACAAGTTTATTTTGAAAATAACCTCTTTACGCGAACTGAAGATCTGATAGCTTCATGAATTGATGCAGTTGAAAGGTTTAAATCAACTGTCACTGATTGTTGCTTTAATTATATGAATAGTGAATAGAAATCAAATAGGCTAATATTGATTAATTTTGATCTAATACAGATTGCGTGTTCAACAATAAAATAAATAGGTTAAGTCTTTTTTTAGATTAAAATGGTTACACTTTTCTTCCACTTAGTACTTTTATGTACATTATCCATTACTTATAATAAGGTTATTAGCATTAAACAGTATAGCATCAGTAACAACAAAATCGTTTTTTTGTTTTTTGTTTTTCATTCAGTGGAAAAAATACAAAAATGTTGTACACAAATGAGATCATTTACTCTCAATTGATTTGTTTGTGTTTTCTTTTTCGTTTAATGCCTGCTATCAAAAAGCGCAGGTGAAATATTATTACATCGAAGGAAGTATGAATTCTAGCATTCTTCGAACACTATAACTACTATTTCTTCTATATGGGTCAGAAACTTAGAGTGTAACGAAAAGAACTTCCAACAGGTTATAGACTTTTATCGACAGCTGCATCCACTGGCTCAATATTGAAGATCAAATGGCCGGAAAGAATTAGCAACAAGAAACTGTGGGAACGAACTAACCAAGAACCCAATGTTCAACAAATATGTAGAAGAGAATGGAAGTGGATTGGGTACATACTGAGAACATTGGAAAACACTGCGCACCAGGCCGGGCTTGGAGCAGAACCCAAAATGGAGCTGACGAGCCAGACATTTTTCACAGGGGTAAAATGGAGGAGATCTTGTGTGGAGGGCCTCAAAGACTATGCGCGTTCCTGGATCCAGCTAAAAAGGACCTCAGAGAACGGGACAAAGTAAAGATGTGCTGTTGAAGTCCTAAGTTCCACTCGAGGTCCAAGGGAGCAATAGTAATATAATATGTCATGATTCTGAACAGTATTCAACAACATAGATCAAATGAATAAACCTAATGAAATCAAGAACGACAAGTGTACCGGGAGAATAACGAGTTCAACCTGTACCATTTCGAAGATTTTCCTCAACTGACTACAACCTGGACATCGACTTTTCTAATTTTCTAAACAGGACAAAAGATGACGTAACAGAATTATATACTTCGTTATCACCAAGGCTGTGTAATGTCTCTTTCTGTTTACAGAAATTTAGTTTGAATCGTTTGACAGTGGTCGCCTCAGCAAAACGTAACAAGCCAGGTTTCTTTAACCTGCTGACTTTGTTTGAATGTTTTCACAATATCCACAGTATGATCAGTGTCCGACAGATGGCGGGCAATTGCACTGTTTAATGACTTTGAGCCTATTTGTCTCCGGTTCTTTGATATGTGTTCAGAAATGCGAGTAATAACCTTTCTTTCTGTTCTTCCAATGTATGTGCTTTGGCACGTACATGAGGGTTGGCAGACACGTTTGAAGGTAACATAAACTGGAAGTTTGTCCGCTTTGATTGTTTTTAAACAGCTGGTCGTTTGATAAATACAAACAAGCTTGTCAGTTGGATGTGTTGTTTTCACGGCAGCGTTTCAGTGTGCATCTTGTTCTACTAACAATATCTTCACTTTTTTGAAGACAAACTGTAGAATTCACTTTTTCAGCGCTAATTTTTCAATGTTTGTCGACGAACTTCTGTGAGTATTCGTTATCGTGCAGGATTTTTTCCACAACGGACGACGTTTCATCAACTTTTTCTTCTGAGTAAGGCTTTCTTATACAATCAAGCTGAGTGTACTGTTTGAGTATACTGTCCTCTGTCTTGTTTAGAAAATTCTGTTGTTTCGTTTGAATGTGAATCAACCTGGTCTCTTGTTTAGCTATTTTATGAAGGCATATTTTATGCAGTTGTATAACCAGTCATTCTGTTAAACTTTGTTTCTACTTGGAAATCGTGAGCCCTGTTCTCAAGTGTGTTGGTCTTATTACCCTCTTATAACTCAATGTTTTTAACTCCTGACTATTAAATAACTTTCATCACTTCTGACGTATGTTACTTTTAGTCCAAATCAATGACTTCTTATCATCCGACACAATGTATGTTTAGTCCCCCTTTTTGTAATTTATACTTTCTTATTATCCAGGATGCAGTCAGTTGAGACGAATCTTCGAAATGATAAAGGTCTAAATCATTATTCTCCTGGTACACTTATCGTTCTTGATTTGTTCAAGTTTACTGATGGCAGGAATTGTCTGAAGGTTTCAAGTGGATTAATTTGTACACGGGTAAAGACATACTGCACACGACCAAGTTAAAGTATAACTATCGAGGAGAACGCAGGCAACAATGACTTTGAACGCACACTAGTCGTTGGATTACCGGAACTATCATTATTGTAGCACCATTGTGAACGTTATTCACGGATTGAGGTGCAAATTTCATCCGGATCTCGTTTATAAGTACTTTTTAGATAACATGTTGATACTGTGTAGCTGTAAATCATTTTTTGGTGCTTCCATGTATATCCAGTGCTGTTCAGATACAAGGCATGGATATACATTGATGTGTACAGAGTACAAGAAAGAAATTAGTGTTTTTAATGGCAAGACTGGTGTGAGATCAACGCCTGTTCAGATGGAAAATTCGTTAGTACCTACTAAGTAATTTTTTAACCATTGCAGAGATACAAAATCTTGGAAAATAGATGCTGTCACCTATCTATTGAAAAGAGTGGATGCTATCGTTCACATTGACGAAACAGTTCTGATATAGAAGAAATATTACCGTGGTCACCCTAGGACGAATCGTAGTGCCAACACTCTTTCACCTATTATGCGAAGGTTAGTCATTTATGACACTACTGTTCATACAGACGAATGCCTAGGACACAATCGTCTATTATATTTGAGTTTAATCAATCGTCGAGTGGATTGTTCTCATGATTTTGTTGCCTTCCTTACTGAAACTCATAATAATTCAATCGAGGGCTTCTGAGAATGACTGAAAAACAGGATATGAGTGATAATTGGGTTACCAAAAAGAACTCAATTTCAGTCACCTTGATGATTACGTCTATAGAAACTGACTTATTTCAAAAGCTGGTACTCCTTATTACAGTTGGGAGGTATTTTTAAGTCCTGTCAAAGAAGAATATCCTGTTTAGTGTGTTTTACCATTATTCTCTCTATTTCTCCTGTAAATAAACGTCATTTTGATATTAAATAAACTCCGCTCTTTCTGATTGGTCGTCTCAAGGTCAGTCGTGTGTTCGCATTCTATCGATTGTTCCAGTTTAATTTCGCCTTGTATACAGCTGCCATACACTTCGGTTTAGCTGTATACTACTACATTTGCATTAGAAATGCAACTTTAATCAGATATTTTATTTGAACTTATTCAACACACAGAAAAGAAACTTACGTATTTATTGTTATCGATTGGAGGAAGCTTGATAATTCTTTCACTTATAATGTAGTCCGGATCAATAACAAAGGAGGTTAACGGTAAAGATAAAGCTCCACTTATCGTGCTTGCTGTCAGCTGACCATTGATAGATACTGTTTGATTACCAGGTGTTAGGCTGTTGTCAAAAGTGTTTCGTGGACGAAGAAAAAGATCGAGAAGGATCTGTAAAACAAATACACAATAGCTGAAAAGCGATATGTACGACAGCTAAAGACTATTTTGAATTACATCGTGTACTGGTTGATATGTTTCAACGTATTAAACTCCACTGAATAAACTGCATAGATAGTGACGTACAAGTACCTTAGACCTCTTCTACAAGTAATTTATGTTTACCATGTCACTATCTATGCAGTTTATTTGGTGCAGTTTAAAAGTTAATTATTTTATTCACTTAATTATTTCACACTTACCAATATGTAATTCATACTTACTAATTAAATCCACAGTGAAAGGTTTTCAGCGGTTGGCAAGGATTTGACTGGTTTTAAGTTTAATGATGGTGGATATCAGTTAGAAAAACATTGAAAATCAGGGAATTCCTAGTTTGGAGATTATTCATAAGCGCGTAATAATGACCCCACCGGCTGTCCAATCTACGATCTTTCTTTGAATCAGTGGTTGAATTTGTAGGTTTGAATGCCACCCTAATTCCTACTTTATTGGGAATCCTACGTAGGGCCCCGCCTTATACGGTTATATGATTAAGAGCAATAATTTGTGATCGACAAGTTATCAGTAAATATTACTGCACAATATTGTGTGATTTATCAAAATCAAATGTTATCCATAATGGATTAATTAACTCCTGTTTATTATGCTACCTTTGGAAGCTCAGTCAATATTATGACTCATACAAATTTAAAATAATCAGCGTATTTCACCACATTTGAAATGCTCAACCAACGATGAGAAAACAGCTCCTAATACGTATCAAATAAACACATCATCATTCAAAATACATCCAAGTTTTCTCTAACTATGAAGCCAGTAATCTTTGATATCGTCTACATGCCCATCGACATAAGCTAGGGTGACTTTAAATTAGTTTTACTTCAGTATGCGTATGAATTCATGCTAGCTGTGTAGTGGAGAAAACTTTACATGTGCCACACTTGTCTCCAATATGACTAGTTTTAACTGAATGATAAATTCAAACTATGCGAATTGCGCGAATACTATTCACAATTATAAGTAATTAAGTCATGAGATGAAATACACATGCCTGTGAATATCTGCTACCTTCCAAATAGGGATAAATAAATTCTGTCTAACAAAAACCGAACACTTGATTTCATTAAATAATCCGTTAAAAAATAATTATTAATTTATATGCGATAGTAATCTATAATTATTACCTGATTATCAAAAGTTTCAGGAACACATATCGTTCCCATAGCAACGGTTGCCGTGTTTTTTATCGCACCACCGCTTCTAATAAAAAGGAAATAATTTGAAATATTAATATGTGAAAATCAAAAAAAACACAATAAAAATCTCCTAAAATAGCTGGTGGACTATCAGACTACAAATATTTAACTGTCAAAACAAAGATAAATTCAGTGAAACTAGAACAAAAATCGGATAAAAGTAAAACAAACTTAAGGGTCCCAAAAATGATGAAATAGGCATTTAGGATTGTTATCTTTCCTTTGTGTCCCGAATGGAACATAAAGCTTCAGTAATACAGTTCCAGTGCATCCAATTCTCCGTTATCCCCTTTTTAGCTGGCCTCACCATTGCATAGAAGCTTTCATCTCCTCCTAATACGACCTCCTCCATGTAATTCTTGATGTGGCAGTGTCAACCAACGATCACTGTAGCGTATATCCAATCCATCTCAGTTTTCTTCCGAGTATTAGTTGAGCACTAGTGTTCTTTATTGGTTCCTCCCCAGAGTTCCTTGTCGCTAGTCCTTTCTTGACTGGTCGTCTGATCTTCAGAATGGAGCCAGAGAAGGCAGCAAGTGAAAAAAGTGTGTAGATTGCTAGGAATGCTATTCGTGACGTGCACTGCAGGTTTCTGAACCACAGAGAAGAAACAGCTGACTTAAGAGTAGTGTTTAATATCAGAATTTGGTTGTTCTTGCTAGGTGTAGCAGATTTCCCAAATGTTTCAGAGTGATAAAGACTTATATTGCCTTCCCGATCCTGGATGATGGTAACATCCTCGTCCATGTTGTCGCATGTAGTTGAAACAATGCTACCTCGATAAATCAAGGAAGCGACCTATTCTGGTGTACAAAGAATTTGACAGGTGTTGACGAGGTATTAAATTATTGCGCTTCAGATTGCACCAGTGCCTCCTTTTTGCAGTCATGCTGGATAATGCCCTCTAACACGTTTCGAAAGGACGTGTACATAATGACCTATGTATCTAGCTCTGCTGGAGCAGCTGGATTGGTATATTTACATTGGACTGGTCATATGTGGAAGTTTGTCCTTCACATTGCTTAGAAGAACTGGGTGACTAAAGAATATCAATATAAGTTTTGTTTCATTAAAGGTTTTTCTTTAGTGAACTAGAGATTCTTCTCTTTGGGATACCTATCACTAAGTTTCCTCTTTAGTCCAATATCACATACATCTTTAGCACTGAATAATAAGAATAATTTTTTATTGTCGAATTATTGTTATTACTGTTCCATTGGGTTCCTAGTGGAACATAGGGCTTCAACTATACGTCTCCACTTGCTTCTGTCTTATGCTGTACATTTCAGCTGCGTCCATGTTAATCCATACTGTTTCAACTCCTCTTCACACGATCTCCTCCATGTCACACTTGCATCGACGAACCACTCGCCGCTTCCATTTCGGGTTCCAATCGAGCATCAGCCTGATGCGCGATGTCACCCAAAGGTCTCCTCAGCGAGTGTCCAATCCATCTCCACTTTCTCCTGCATATTTGTTAGGCAATTGGTTCTTGTTTTGTTTGTTCCCATAGTTTCTTGTTAGTATTTCTTTCCGGCCATCTAATCTTCAGTATAGAACGAAGGCAGTTGTTGATAAAGGTCTGCAGCCTGTTGAAAATATTCTTTGTGACCCGCTGCCAAGTTTCTCATCCGTATAGAAGAACTGACTTGACGTTTGTGTTGAAAATTCGAATTTTTCGTTGATGCTGAGTGATGAAGATTTCCAGATTGGTTTCAGGTTGATGAATGTGTTTCTCGCCTTCCCGGTTCTCGATTTGACATCCTCGTCTGTTCCTCCTGTAGTTGAGACAATACTCCCTAGATAAGTGAATGAAGTAACCGCTTTCAATTCCCTCCAGTCGAATGGTGAAATGAAACGCCCTATATATATACTACCAGAGAAAAATTCGGGATCTTTATTTCAAAACATGTAATCATTATATTTGCATTATACATTCAACCTACTCACATGCTTATTACAGGATTAACAGCACCACTGAACCATATAAATTCACTGTAACCCACAAGAGTAGCACCAATCATATCAACAGGCCAAATATTAGACAGTATTGTAAATGTCATTGAGAATGTAGCACACATTGTATTCGGCAGACTAATTCTGTAGTGATATCGAACCAACTGTCCTGGTATTACTGGGTAGGTTCGTTCATTTGGTTTGTCATAGTAGCTGGGAGCATCTATCTGATAGGCGATTGTTGAGCTTGGTACGCGTGCCTAACATTAAGAAAAAGTCAAATTTTTATTGAGAACCTTCACACAGGAATATTTCTCAAAGAATTTGAATAAAGAAATAACAACACATTGTAGCAGGATAAATCGGATCCATTCTATTTCTTCATCGGTTTCTAGTCGACCGCTAACAGTCTGAGTAGTGGATGATGAAATTCAACTGAAAAGCTTAACTCAAATTTGATTTGTTTATTAGTGCTTTTCAAAATTTTCCTTAAAATCTATGTAACTTTGAATGTTAAGACTACCCTTGCTCGACCAGGTTAGGCTTTAGGAAAAATACCTGCTGATGATATTGGCAAGTGGTCGCCCCAATTTTAACAGTTGGTTAAAGTTAGAATTCACAGTCTAGCCGTTGAATCATGTCCCCGTGAATGTATGGTCTTCAAGCTTGTCTTCTAACCGAAAGAGCCTGAATAAGAATCACGGTGCATGCGTACTACTGAATGTTTCTGAATTAGAATGATAGAGGTGTTCAGTAGTCTCCGGCTTTTTAATGACTTTAACCGATATCAATCCGCGATCACACTTTGGACGAAACCTGGTTAAAACTATAAACAAAAGAACTGATATTTCACGTCCAAGACACCAAGGAATTTCCTGAAGAACAATACTTGAAAATGAAAGTAATGTTCACCGACGATTGACTACGAAATGAAGTCGCCTTAAGTTCTAGTGAGAATTCGTGCCGAGTACGGGGGGGCAAATACTCACCAATAGCATTATGTGGCGATGATGTTATTTATCTCAGAATGGCCGGTCCCTAAATTCAGTCACTTCAGCTAGATGCTGTGCTTGTGTCCTAAAGATTCTGTATCCTGATGGGATCTTGGCAACGCGCATCTGAGGAGTCCTGAACTGGGACGAAACAGCTGATCATTACTCCTTGTTTTTCAGTGGCTTTCTTACTGATATATATACCTGACCGGGCTCAAAATGGGTTCGTTTTATTCCGCTTAATATGTTACTACTTTTATACATTCTCGTCTAGAATAACAAATTATTATTGATTCACCCACCTAATAAACTCTAAATATATTTTTATTTAAAGTATTACATCGGATGTTAGAGAGTGAATTAGAATAATAAGGGCTTTAGACTAGATACGAAATGATAGTATTTGAGTATGATCAACCGTGTTGTTCCATTGCTGTGACTTATTCGCTTGCTAAAATGAGAAAAAATTACTACCCCAGAAATTTCATCTTAGCCATCAGGCATCATCAGCACAAGAAGGCAGAGTTAAAGTGTCATAAAGAAAATTGCAATGACCTTGAGCAATCAGTCAGGACGTAGATGCAGAGAAGTTATGCAACCGCTAAAAAACTGTATTTAAAAGTATTGAAAACATGATATTGTATCAGATAATTTTCTCAAATGTGTTGTGGAAATTTCGCAAAAGTATTCATTCAGACATCTATAAAACACAAAATAATCGAGCAAAGAATATTCTTTTCGATAAATTCCTCTTCCAGGCTCTACAATTATATATATGTTTTTATACACAGAATATTTTAAATTAGTAGTTAATAACAATATTAGCGTTTTTTAAATAATATCGATTTGTAAAGTATGATCAATGCTGTTGCAGTTCATTAAAGATGCCTAAATTATAATAATAAAGATATAACAGCGAATAGAATATCAACTAAAATTAGGGAAATTTCACAAAATTTCTGGATTATTCAAACCTGGATGGCCAAAGTAATGATAATGTCTGTACCAACCAACTTCTTTTCGAGGCACAAATTAGGCTTGTTAATATGGATCCCCACAGCCTCAGAAATATTTAGAAGTCGAACTCTTAAAGCGAAATTGAGATTCGTAGGTATGCGGTAAATGACCCTGAAAGCATGATTAACGTCAATCTTGTGTTCTGTCTCCACAAGATGCGCCAGAATAGCGCTGCGAATAGATTTTGTTTGACCTTTGCTTAACCAGGCAGGGTGAAATTTCCTTAATTTTAGTTGATATTCTATTCGCTGTTATATCTTTATTATTATAATTTAAGCATCTTTAATGAACTGCAACAGCATTGATCATACTTTACAAATCGATATTATTTAAAAAACGCTAATATTGTTATTAACTACTAATTTAAAATATTCTGTGTATAAAAACATATATATAATTGTAGAGCCTGGAAGAGGAATTTATCGAAAAGAATATTCTTTGCTCGATTATTTTGTGTTGTGGAAATGTCTGTCAGTTACTCCATGGATCATATCATGTGCAACATATGTGTTTATGAAGGTGACTGTAGATAGTGATGCTTTTGGATCAATTGATACTCCTGACTCTATTCTATAAACTACCCCTAACCCGAAAACCTAACAGGAAGGCACCTAGGGAATAAGTAGGATAATGTACCTACCATAACGAACATGTTTTCTCTTATAACATGAATTGCATGTATAATAATATTTATCTCGTGCAAGGTTATATTGCCCCATTTTCGTACTCTTTCTCTCTCCACACACACATGCATCTTCATAACTCCAATTAATCACCTACTGAGTCAAATATTCAGTCTCCATGGAACTCATCCACCAAATCCTTAAAGATAGGCATCCTTTGATTTGGAATGACTTTTTGTAGCGCTGACTGGCTGGTTCTTCAAGGTGAACCTTTGCCTACCTTGACTGTGGCTATAATGCTTTGACTTCACCCACAGGAAAACTCCACATAATGCGATTTCGACCTTCCCAGAATCCATACAGAATAGGTTTCAAATTGCTAATATGGATTTACTTAGATTACCACAAAAACAATGAAATCTTTATCACTGTTGATAAGTTTAGATCCCCGTAGAATCACAGTTTTACATTTACGAGTAAGATACCTGAAAAACCCCTTGGGGATGAGGCACATCTGTTGTGTGAGGGCTAGTGATACTGTAACGGGAGAAGACAAGAGACTTGCTAATGGAATGCTAATTTTTCAGTTTGATAAACACATAAAGGGAAATTCTGTATAATGCAAATTAAAATCATTATTTGCACAGATCTTCCGTTTGGTGCTATTTATGTCTTTCGTTGTGTGTTTCTTTGTCTTCTTTTAGTGTCTCGCATGATTTATAATGACTGATGCCCGTTGTTGTTGTTTACTGGTCGGTTATCTTCATCACCTCCGTCTTCTCTATTTTCATTTTAGATCCTGTCTTTGCTGCATCTTCAGTCAGTTTACTGGTTTTCGCCAGCAAGTCTTCTAATAAATCTTCCAGGAAATCCAGACCTCCTACAGTCTTCTGATCGGTCCGACACATTCCAATCTTCTTGCTCCCCAGGACAGTTTTCCTATAATCCAGTCCACTACAGTGAAGAATATCATCGGTGATGGTAGGTAGTCGTTTCTTACTCCTTTCTTCACTTCATACACTCCGCTGAGTTTTCCACTGTGAATCATTTGGTACATGGTATTGTCATGTAGCTGCTGGATGAGGTTGGTAAAGATTCAGGAGATTCCATATTTTGAACAAAGAAAGAAGAAACGCTTCTGCTGTTTCCCTCGTCAGTTTATAAAACACCTTCGCTCTTGTAAACTTCCTCCTTCCTTGAAAAATCTCAGACGCTTAACAAAATCCAATATTGAATCGACGAAACGGCTGATTACGAAGCTGAAAACAGAAGCTAGCTCTTTTGAAAACACTGTCAATGATTTAAACGTCGTATGCAGAGTCAAATTCATGAAAAATTTAATTCGAAATATACAAAACAAACAAGTGAAAACTTCTTCATGACCCTAGTGAAGACATTAGTGAATGAACAATTATGTGAAGGCTTCCCGGAAAACCCCGAAAAATATGTAATCAATGAGTCAAGTGTAATCTGCGCCAATGTCTCTTCTTTCTTTGTTCAAATTTATAAAAGGGAATCATTGTATGAGATTCCATAGTGTTGAAGTAGTTTCCGAATTACTTTGTAGTCAACATTGTTGAAGGTCGTTTCAAAGTCGATAAAGCTGAGTTGGAGATTTGACGTACCGTTGCATTTTGATCCGCACATGATTCAACTTTCCGGAGTCCGCGTTGTTTTCGTATTTGCAAAACCCCTGTTGTTACATTGTAACGGAAGTAGACAAGGGACTTGGTAACAGCATGACATACACATATTGGGAGACTAGGTGTACCCTACATTAAAATCCTTAATTTTCAGAGATCTTCGGTTTTCTTCTACCTCTACCCTTCGTATTGTGTTTCTTTGTTATCTTCTCATGTTCCCCATGTTTCGCCTCATTACTGATTCATTTTCTCTCTTTAACGTCAGTTCTATCTCTCCGCTATTTGATAATTTTGTGCCAATCAACATCTCTGCATATACTACTGATAAGTCTTGTAAGTAGTACATACCACAATGATAACTGGTTGCACAATCTTTGAACTCATGGCCCCCACTGGCTGGAAGTCGGATGCCTTAATCCATAATCCATAGCTCCACTATTATATATACATATATATACCGTTGTATTCACAAATTATATAATTTAAACAAAGAAAAATATTGATGATGAAAAGCAACTACTTACCTCAGATGGAAGAACATTTACATTCACATAAGTTAGACTACTTTGACTTCCATAAAAGAGAGTGAAACGTACTGAAACATATGAAGTAGCCATCGTATTCACATTCATTGGTATGAGAATGTTGATTGCTGACTTTTCAGCTTTCGATTTAGTTGGGTTTTCATTATCTGTAATGAAAATATATATAAACATATGTACATATATATGTATAATTTTCTCTCTAGACCTTGTTGGAGAATATAAACGCTATTCCAGAGGAATAAGTGATTTACTGCGAATCCAGCTGTCTATTTTGGAATACAAACAGGTCCGAGAAGGGATTAGTAAGGGTTTTATTTGTGTTATAGTTGATCTGTTCATTGATGATATCTAACAACCTACTGATGAATGAGCTGTGTTCTAAAGACTGTCAGGTGAGGGATAGATACAATGTTACAATTTAGTAGGTTATGAAACTAAGGAAATAAGGGACTATACTTGTTTTCAGGTTAATTTTGATTATCTCAGATCGAAATGCTCGGTAAGCCTGGAAATATCAGCGCCTTTTAACGAATGCTTAGGTGATGTTTAAGGATGAATATGGGGTTATTTCTGGTTGGTGACCACTGGCAGTGGAATCTGCTGATAAAGGGCCAGGCTGGAAAAGAGCTAGCGGCGGTCAAACGAAAACATGGCACCAATTAATGAAATCCACAACAGTTAGTCTAAGCCACGTATGAAGGTGTAGACTTCTTGGTTGGAGTCCTCGGGACGGTAAAAGCCAATGGTTGGAAACAATTGGTGACATGGCTCAAAATCGTTCTCAGTGGCGCAGATGCATCCACTCCTTGTGACTTATGATTTCCAATGAAACTGTTTTTTTCTTCGTCATTACTATTCCTTTGTCTCACACCTCTGTTTACTGTCTATATTACGCATTTCTCCTACTTCCTTCTCTTGTTTTGTGTGCTACATGGAGTGTGGCGACTTGAACTGCCGCACATATGTGCAAAGTTCTATGTCGAAGACCGACCGACCGACCGAGCAGTGGAATCCAGGATGGGTATTCCATCCTATGTGGGACGGACCAGGTGAATGCATCTACTCTTGTGTTATTATTATTATTGTTTCCTTCAATTCCTAGAGGAACATAGGGCTTCAGCCGTGCGTCTCCATTACGTTCGGTTCTCTGCTAGAGTTTTCACCTGACTCCACGTCTGCCCACATCATTTCATCTCCTCTTCACATGACCTCCTCCAAGTCACCCTTGCACTGACGACCAACTCGCTGCTTCCCTTTCGGGTTCCACTCGAGCAATGGCTTGTCTAGTGATGTCACTTGATGGTTTCCTCCATTTCATCCTGCCTATTTGTCTCACAATTGGTTGCTGGTTGGTTCGCTCCCAGAGATCTCTGTTGCTGATCTTTTCTGCCCGGCCATCTGATCTTGAGTAGTATTGAGCGAAGACGGCTATTGTTGAAGGTCTGTAGTTTGTTTGAGGTGCTTTTTGACGCGCCAAGTCTCTGATCCATACAGTAACACTGTACGGATCTACCCTTGTGGCCTATTAGAAACTTCTTTGGTGTTTGAAACGATGAGTGTAGAGTCTGAGTTGCAGATGGAACACCCCTACTGACTGGGAATGGACGTATATCTAGCTGATGGGTACTAGGTAGGACGAAATGCACATACCGAATTCAACTGCAGGTTGTCAACATTCAGAGGGGAGCTATACTATTCTCAGTGGCCAGATGTGTTTCTAGTTGCTTTCGAAATCTGTCTTTTCAAAAGCCGGTTAAAGTTTTTTAAGTGAACCATTTTTTATAACTGTTAAAATAATTTTAGGTCATTCAGAAGTCTCGCAAAGATGTCCTTTGTCTTGTTAATTTATCGATAACTTCAACTACTGTATTTTCGCGCTGTTCTTCTAAGTCTATTTCTTAACTTCATTAAAAGTGGAATTTTTATTTCACTTTTGACCTAGAGAACCATTGAAAATCAGAGAGTAATGATGAGCTGTTTCATCCCAGTTTCGGACTCATGTGCAGCACGTACCCACAGGCGATCGAACCCAGAACCTTCTGTTAACGAGTCAAGCTCGTTTGCCATTCAGCTACTGGGACGTGATTCAGTGGTCAGCGCATAAATTGATGATATAAGCGCAACTAGCTCCAGGCAACATCATTGGCGTCACACCGGACCGGGTGGACTCCACTAGTCTCGACTCCACACTAGAACACCAGTCAAATTCGTCCAGTAGCCGTCACTAGCAGGCATCAGAAAAGTTTTCAAGAGCTAATTTGTAGGGATTCGATTTGTTAGGCGTTTGATCACGGATTGAGATCAGTTAGAATTCCTGACACACTGGATTGCTCACCAGTGACTAAAGGGTACATTAGCTCACCTCATAACCTTAAGGTCCTGAGTTCGAAATTCGGTGGGTGTAACCGTTAAACAACAAGAAATCTGAATGAAACAGCTGTCCATTACGCCTTTGTCTTCAATGGTTATCTCACTGATGTTAATCCATGGTCAAACTTAGAACAAATCAAGTCTCTACAAAATACTCTTTCAATTTTTCTCTCTGATTTTGTTTTATTTTCAGATATGATTACTTATTAGGGTATAACAGTCACTTAAAAGATGATTATTATGAAAATAAAATGCCTGCACCAGTCTTATCAGATAAAGGTGCAAACTTAATTCGTAGTCCAAATCTCATATCAAATAAATCCTTTTTTGTACTCCCACATAAGTAAGAATGAGTTAAGTGCATCTACAGTCCTAATATAGTTAAGAAGGGAAATCTGAAAGCCTACGTATGATTCTTGAAAAAATGAACATACGTGTGGCATATAAACCTACAAGCTCAGTAAAAGAAAAGTCCTGTGGGCTAGACGATCCTATTGATCCAAAGAGACAAAATATTGTGATATACATAATATTCAAGTAATAATAATAATAATAATGGCTTTATTCCAAACAGTATTTGTGGTACAGGTATGGAATTTTCAGCGTTCATTACAATATTGCATCTAATTACCTCATAAATTTTATAAGGATTTAGAAATATAAAGCAACAACAACAAAAAGAAAAAGAGAAATAAAAGAAATAAAATAAAAAAGAACAGCATTACATTCACATATTTAAACAGTGCACCACAGGATACGATATATAAAATTAGTCTGTAATAGAATATATGAGCAGCAATATAATAGTAACAAAGAAAGGAGAACAAAAGCTAATGGGAACTATTTGTTAGAGTGCCGCAGTAAATTGATCATGTCATGCCTAACAGTTTTCTCATCACATAACAGCTGTGCCAGATAAGGTATTGTGGAGTTTTTATACTTGGTAGTCCTGGCATATAGCTTCCTATAGTTACTTCTAGTTCTACCAGATGATATGCAAGGAGAGAGCTGTGTATAGAGAGGATGCTCAGGGTCTGACAATATAGTATTCGCTAGTTTCTTACATGACATTATATGTCTATCCACTATGGTGTTAACCAGTTGGTTTAACGATATCCCACTTGCCCTACTAACAGCTTTTAGTGCCCTACGCAGCGAAGCAAAGTCTTTCTTAAGTAGTCCTGGAAAGATTAATGGGGAGCAGTAAAGAGGGATGGGTAGAATACAGGAATTGACAAACTGAGAAAGTAAAGACTGCTTTATACCAGACTGCCTAAACTTCCTAAGGTAGAACGTTAAGCGAAACATCTTTCTAGCCACTAGCAAGATGTGAGAGGACCAGGAAAGATCGGAGGAAATACTCAGTCCAAGGTACTTGACATCTGATGTAGTTTCAACCTCTATGCCGTCTATGATAGTGGGACCATGTGAGCTAGCTAGTTGTTGAAGGTCACTTTTTCGTCTGAAAGTAAAATTTACTACCTGACATTTAGACGGATTCAGCTTAAGACCATTTGAAGAGGACCACTGACTAATTTCCGAGAGAAAGTTATTTAATTTGGAACAGTCTGACTGAGAGTTGACAGGCATGGAGACAGAGAGGTCATCAGCATACTTGACAAAAGTGGCTACATCAGAATGGGGCAAGTCATGTAAGAAAAAAGAAAACAGAAAAGGAGAAAGAACGGCACCTTGAGGAACACCAGCTAAAGTAAGTGAGGTAGAGGAGGACTTTCCATTGTAGACAGTGTACTGCTTCCTATCAGAAAAGTAGGAATACAACCACTTATTTATCCAGCTCTCACTCTGTGTTGCAGCAAGCTTACTTAACAAGAGAGAACTAGGTACAGAGTCAAATGCAGATGTGTAATCAAGGAAGGCACACCGAACATATTTGGCTCCTCTATCTAAACTAGAGACTATATTATGATATAGAACTACAGCGGCATCTAGGGTACACCTACTATGTTTATAGGCAAACTGGTTGGGGTCGTTAAAAGGCTTTAAAGAGGGTTCAAGATTAAGTAAAATACGTCTTTCCATAACTTTTAAAAAAGGTGAGGTAATAGCAATGGGTCTAAACTTTACAGTAGGTCCACTTGTTGATTTGGGCACTGGAACAACCTTGATATTTTTCCATGAGTCAGGAATAAAACTTTTGGAAAAAGATTCATTGAAAATGTCAATTAATGGGTAACATAAGATGTCAGCACACTTCTTAAGGATAACAGCAGGAACTCCATCAGGACCAAGGGACTGGGTAGGTTTGAGAGATTGAAGACACTTGAGGAAATCATTCGTGTTAAAACATGAAAAGCAGTCATTATTTATACTATTAGATTTGGGAATCATAACATCTGCAGGGATACATATGAAGGATTTATTTAGCATATCAACATCGACAGAAGTATCATTCATTATTTGCTTACCACCTGTGATTTCCTTTCATAGCTTCCACATATTAGATGAGGATTTACATGAAAGAAACTTCTGGTTATAGAGAGCATTTAATCTTTGTAATTCGGCTTTAATCAAAGTGTTTATTCTCTTAACACCAGATTTATTTTTCATTTTGTATAACCTCTCTTTTTGACGGCGAAGCTTTTTGAGTTGAGATGACGCGAAACGGTCGAAATTTAAGAAGATTGTCTCTTTAGGACAACAAACATCAAGACAGAAATTGAGATAATGTGTTATGTTACTAATTGTGTTGTCAAGAGCTTGTTCAGTAAACAGGTCCCAGTTTGTGTCTTTTAACATTGTCCTTAGATTCTGT